GACGGCTCTATCCGGATAGACTTTAAAGTGGATTATCCCAATCATGTGTAATCCTGACCATTTATTTCGGCAATCCACAAGTCAAACCAAAACTGATCACGTCAAAATCTTGGACAGAGGGCTCCTTCGAAATTAGCGGTCAGAATTAACACAGGATTGGGATAACCTACTTTGAAGTCTATCCGGATAGAGCCGTCGAAATAAACATGGTAATTATATAAGTATGTTTAGGGATATAGGTCCTTCGTCACATTATCCAGTAAATACACAAATTACAATTATTAACTAATCGCTATCACTATCAGTATAAGATTCTGAATCATTTTCCTAAGTTAATAATCACTGGTTCAACCACTCTTTCCATACATTCGTCAGTTGTCCTCATTTTTTCTTCCTCCTTCTCAACATGTTCGATTGCTTTTTTCTAATTTTCCGGAGTTACATTTTGTACCGCGGTGTAAAAAAGATGCTTTGCATCTGCGATCTTGAAAGTTGTTTTTTCTGGAAACTTCATTTTTAATTTGCGCCCAAATTAACTCAACTGGGTTAAACTCGCAATGGTACGGAATCAGGCGTAAAATAGTCGGTTTGGTAGATTTAGCCATTTCGTCGATGACATACTTGTCAGCACTTTTATTGCCCTTGACCAGATTTAAAAGTTCTGCTTTGACCATATCGCTGCCAAAGGGAACATTATGCCTTCGTAGGTAGGCCTTGAAAATTATCAGATAGTCATTTGTTTCAGTTACCAGACCAAGCTCCAAATTGAACATAGATCTGGAAGACTGAGAAATAAATCGAGCAGTCAACAATGTACAGAGAAGAGTCAGGCTTTGCCTACAAAATTAAGGACAACATTTTGAACATCTGCTATGATTTACATTGATTTATTTAGGACGGTTATTTTATGATTATTACCATCAATAAAATATTCATTTTGTGTTCAGGTTTCACCACACCTTTTTGTTTCCTTATAAGTTTCTCTGACAACAAAATCATGGCCAACTAAAGAGATATAACACTTAGTGTAGGACTGAAATGTACAAAATTCCGTATGAAAAACAAAGTTTGGATGGAAGTCAAAAGAAGAAACCTCCAATTGAATTTGATTTTCTATTTATATATTTGCTTATTCCAGAGAAGATTTTTAACTGCTGGTGATAATATCTAGAGTAATGGAGGCCACTAGTGAGCAGTGGTAAACTGGAAACAGTAACCGAAGGGACTTTTTGGAAGTTTTAGGGATATTTAATTTTGAAACATATTAGTGACATAAATTGTCAGGTTTTCTGGGTCAAGTTCTTTCTTGAAAAAATATCGTGTTGAACCATATGGAGACTGAAGAAATTGTGACTGAAGCTGGTGGAAAAGCAAATGAGGTGAATGTATCACATGAAGAAAAAGGATTTTTTGTAACAGACATTTTAAAGATAAAAGACTATACTATTTCGATACAAGAAAAACTGATAAAAAAACTATATGAAAAATAGATAAACTAAATAAACAAATTGAGAATTTACAAGATACATCTGCAAATAACAGTAAATCTTATGCAGACATGGTCAAAAGTTCTACACAAGAAAACACCAACATTACTTCGCCATCTCCAAAAAAAAAACGGTAAAATATACTAAAAATATAAACGCAACCGAAAAATACTTGATATTGATATTGATATTAAACCTAATAATACAAATTAAAGTTGTACACAAACAAAGAACGAACTGAGCAAGTATATAAATCCAGCAAAAATGAAATTGTCTATTAAAAAAGTAAATGATCTGAAAGATGGAGCACTGAAAATTGAATGCAAGGTTATCAATGATATCAAAAAGTTAAAATTGGAAATAGAAAAAAGTGTTGGATAGAATTATAAAGTAAATGTAGGACACAAAAAATTACCAATGATTAAAGTCGTGGGTTTCAGTGAAGACTTAAACAATGAAGAATTGGTTAGGGACTAAAATGAGAAACAACGTTATAAATAGTGATGCTTCGATTAAAGTAATGGCAATCAAAAAAATGAAATTTCGGTATATGGCAATTTTGGAATTAGATAGATCAACATTTGAAGCAGTAATGAAAGCAGGAGTTTTGTTTGTATCCACAGATGTTTGTACAATTTTTGAGCATTACAAACTTCTGAGGTGTTTTAACTGTGGCGGATTTCACCACACAGCGAAGAATTGCACGAAGACCAGTATTTGTTTAAAATGTGGTAATAGTGATCATCAAGCCCAGAACTGTACGATATCAAAAGATAAAAAAACATGTCCAAATTGCAGAGCATCAAATTTGAAGTATAACACAAGTTTCGATATAAATCACTCATCCTTCCACTATACCTGCAACATGGTCCAAATCGAATATGAAAAATCAAAAAATAAAGTTTCTTATGGTGACAAATAGCAGTTACAGGATAAAACATATTATAACAATGTATACCATATAAATATTCAAGGACTTTTATCGCACAGGGATGAAGTTATAAATTTTTTAATATTAGTGAAACCCTTATAGTTCTTTGCTTGACTGAAACACATATTACAGAAGATATTAAAGATATGGAGATTGATATTCATCATTATGATGTTGTAAGAGTAAACACAGTTTCGAAACATACTGGTGGCATACTAATATACAAACTGAGTATGAGGAAGTAAAAACACATAATACTGTAGTTGTTGATTATTAATGGTGGTATATTAATTTTCAAATCAAGATGAAACAAAATTACAATGAACACGTTTACTACAGATCTCCAAGCTGTAATATTAGCCGATTTTTGGACTTTTCTGAGAGTGTTTGTGAAAAACAGTATTATCGAAATTGCTCCACTGTGCACTTGGGAGACTTCAATATAAATTTTGATAATCAAGATTTTTATGTAAAAAAATTTAAACAGGTACTGAACTTTCATGGTCTATGGCAAAAAGTTAATGACTACACAAGGATTACAAACTTTTCACGAACTAAGATCGATTTAATAATAACCAATGAATAGAATTTGAGTATTAAGGTTTTACATACTCTAAAAATAAGCGACCATTCGTGGATATGTTTCGAGGTGGAAAATATGTTTAAAGAGAGAGAATCAAGAGAAATCACAATTATTGATTTTGAAACGTTACGAGAGTCACTCTTACAAGCCAATATCACTGAAATTTTTAATGATGCTGACACTTACTTCTCATAAATTATGGATTGTATGGAGAACTGCATGAGACGCACAAATTAGGAAAGTGGTATATCAAAGGAAAAAGCCAACACTCTGGTTTTCACAAATATTTCTAGACTCTAAATTGACGCGTGATAATGATATAAAAAGTTTATGATCACTCAAACTGAGGAAGATTGGATACAATATAAGAAATTAAGAAACAAGTGTTTAACAAATCTTAGGAACGAAAAGAAAAAGTATTATAAAAACAAAATCGATAGCAATAAAAATAACAGTAAAATGATATGGAAGACACATCAAAAAATATTGTATCACCCAGTAGGAAGAATGAATTATCAAGAATGTGCTTCGAAGATGGTAGAGTAACACAAAAAATATTGATTGCAGAACGAATGAACGCTTATTTTATAGAAAGTATAAATGAGATAGTAGAATCAATCGAAGATGGAGATCCAAATCTATGTCACTTGCAAGTTACTTATAATTTATCTATGAGACAATTCTAAACAATAAATATCAGCCATCTTTCCAAAGCTATTACAAGATTGAAATCGAATAGAAATCCTAGTGAACATCTTTCAAAAATGGTTATGAAGGAATGTTTCAACATTATTGGAGAGAAGTTATTATTGTTAGTGAATCACTGTTTAGTGTATGGCAAATTTCCTTCAAAATTAAAATGTTCTACAATTACTCCTGTTCCAAAAGTGCAAAATTCTGAGTCATATACAAACATGCGGCCAATTAATGTACTGCCAGATGTCGAGAAGCTCTTAGAAGGAATCATATATGAACAAGTCATTGAATATATTGAAGAAAATAAGATATTGACAAAATTTCAAGCAGGATTCAGAAAAAAGTATTCTACTGAAACAGCAATTCAAATGGTAGTAGAAGGATGGATGGAAAAAAATTTACAGTAACATTGTTCTTAGATTTCAAGAGAGCATTTGATACTATTGACAGGGAGAAATTGTTAACGAAATTGCATTGCTATGGACTTCAATGTTCAGTATTCAACTTATTACAAAATTATTTAATCAATAGAAGTCGAAAAATTAAAATTGGCAATACATTATCAAACATTAAAAACAGTTCGGTAGGTGTGCCACAGGGTAGCAAATTAGGCCCATTACTATTTATTTTATATATTAACGACATTCCTGATATTTTACAACACTGCAAAATTCAACTATTTGTTGATGATACAATATATATATATATATATATATATATACCAAATAAAGACATTGAAACGGCAATAGAGCTGTTAAACAATGATATGAAAAACGTAATAAATTTTTTAAATGTAAATAAACTTACGATAAATCTTACAATTAATCATGAAAAAATTGTGTAAGTCGAATCACTTAAATATTTGGGCATATACGTAGACAGTAAATTAAAATTTGAAAATATCCAAGAAAATAAATTACTTTTATACAATTTCTCATAGCCTAAGCCTTTATTCTAAAAAAATTGTGTGCAACACAATCATTCTTCCTCATTTGTTATATTGTTCGACTATTTTGTTCACTGCAAATGAATTTTCAAAATTACAAATATTACAAAATAAAGCTATGAGAATCATCTTAAATAAAAATAAATATACTAAAATAAATTTTATGCTGAACGAACTAAAATAGTTAAATATCAAAAATTGCATAGCCTACTTGGTTTTCATTTTCATATTCAAGTTAAAAAATCATCTTCTACCAAATCACTTAGAAAATTTTATTGTATTGAACAATGACTGCCACAATTATTCTACTAGAGGAAGTATAGACTTTCATTTTCAAAACTGCAGCAGGAATATAAAGAGCAAGTCAGTATTTCAAAAGGGATTTTGTACGAATTTAATAAATTAAGTTTTTTTTTTTTTTATACTCCAACTACCACGAAGGCCTAAGGCCTAAGCACCCATTGGGTACCGTGGGGCTATGGGGGATACATGGGAAAGGGGGGGACGCCACACGGACTCTGGCGAGGGAACACGTGTGCATGCAACATGCACACATTCTGGCTCCGCCTACGAGAACCGCCGGCTGGTACCTCCGCGTTCGACAGTCAGAGACCATCTACCACCTACGGACAATCACAACAGCCATGGCCAAGAGAAACATTTCTCCTGGGACGGGACTCGAACCCGCACAGCGCGCGGCGGCTGATCAGGAGACCGAAGAGTCTACTACTGCGGCCACCGCTGCTGCCTAAAACAAACACACAACATCCATGGCGAAGGCGAGATTCGAACTCGCGGCCCGGCCGGCCGGCTGATCAGTAGCACGACACTCTGACCCACGCGGCCAACCGAGGTCCCGCGTAGTAGTAGTAATGATATTGAGATGTGTGTCAGTTTGAAAATGTTCAAAGGGAAATTTTCACAGTAGTGAAATTTTGTATAAAAATATGTAGTCTTAAAGACATATTTTGTGATATACTGTGTAATATGGATATTATGGATATTGTAGTGGAGGACAATAGCCGAAACGTCATATTAGAATTCTTATTATGCTATCTTGTAGATGAGAAAAAAATTACAATGTTAATGTGCAATTTATTTTGAAATACGACTATAAATAAAATCATGAAAAATTAAAACGATTTTGAAAAAAATCCGTTTTTTCCGTCTATCTCCATAAGTACTTTGGATTTCGAGACTTTTTAAGCGCCATTTTGTTAATTACCTAAATACGCAACTTTGCCTCTCTTAAGCGACTTCGAATCTCTTACAGTTTCCAAGATCCCACTGGTAAGGGTCGAATTTGAAGCACCCTGACCCTTTCTATGGATAAATCAATAATAATTTGCACTTGATCCCAGAAGCTCTTAGGCAAAATAGTACAGAAAAATGTAGTGCCTGAAAGAGTTGCAAGGTCACTTGAAAATGAGCATATTTATTTCTTTATTATCTTATAAAAAAACTGCTGAAACTTCATTAAGCTATTAAAAACCAATTAATCCTCTCCCATGAATTTCTTATATTTCTGCAGATTTAAAATAATTGCTCCCTGTAAAATGTATTATGCGGCGGAATCAAATCTCTTGACTTTTCTATGCATCACGAATCTTGATTCAACAAATAATACGCAACTGCAACCATTTACCAGACCGAACACCTTATAAACTGTATATTGACTGCTAAACCCGATATACCCCTCTGACTGGCCTACCGAGTGTGTGTATGTGTGCATTCTCCGTCCGCTCTGCCTACCGCTATCATTTCTCCGCCTCCTGGCCCGTGTTGGTGGGCGTAGCTTGTTCGCGTTGCGTGGGAGGCGGAGCCGTGTACTCCAGCTGATACGCCTTCTTCTGTGTGATCTCGTCGATGTGCTGGACGGCACACTCTGCACCCTGGTGATTCGGGCTGCCGCAGTTGTAGCAGCCGGGCGGCCGCGTTGGGAACGGGCTGGAATACATTAAGGGCACGTAAGGGATGGTGTAGGTGGGGGGAGGGAAGTTCTCCGGGTAGGGGGGGAATTGGGAGACGGTAAAGGCGGCTGCCGCCGGTGGACGGTGCTGCTGCTGTTGCGCTGTCGGCTGCTGATGGTTGTAGTGGAACATTGACCTGGAGGGAGGAGCACAGTAGAAAACGAGCGGAATTAATTCAAATTGTTAAAGATTTTTGAGATGCAAACTAATTTGAAAAATGTACTCTGAATGCTTTTTATGAACCTTTACTATAAAAAAATGGGCCCACATTTATAGTCAACACTTGAAAGCCGAGTCTCGATTGAGGGATGGACAGTCCTTGCATGTTCAAAGATTAATAATGCACCTTTTGAGTATTTCTCAAGTGGTGATTTAACTTAAATTTTAAGATCCTTAGATTTTTCAGCTTTGAAAGTTTTGAAAGCAGAATATTAAAAATTTTGAAATTCTGTAAATCATGAAAATTTTAAAAATATTGAAATTTTGAATATCATGATTGATTTAAAAAATTGCATGAAAACTGTAGACATAACAAACAATCTGAAAAAATTTAATATCATAAAAACTTTGGATACTTTGAAACTTTTCAAGATTTACAAAATTTTCCTGATATTCAAAGTTGTCAATATTTCCGAGCTTTTCATAATTTTTAATATCATGAATATTCTGAAAATTTTCAAATTATGTAAACTTTGGAAATTTGGGCAATTTTGAAAACTGGAAATTTCAAAAATCTTTAAAATAGATTATCTTGAAACTCTGGAGACTTTTGACCAGAATATTTTTAAAATATTGAGAATTTAAAAAAAGATAAATGTTACATTTCTGAAGAGTTTAAATGTATTGAAATTTTTTAATATTATTACAAGTGCAAATCTTAAATCTCCACTTGAAAGTAATAAAGTCTCATATAATAATAACTCATTATTAATTTAAAAAATAGTATTTAGTTCTCATTTATATTATGCGAAATGGCTTTACCGTGTTAAATAGCATAATTAAGTTCATGTTAGTACTTTCGATTTGTAGTATCAGATTTTAAGGAAAACGTGAAACATTCGTGCGAATTTGAATAAAGAAAGTGATATAAACTTCTTTCCCTGGTATTTTTTATCGTTAACGATTCCTTAACTCTACATACTGATGATGGGCGACATCTATCTGCAACCGTCTTTCAGTATCAGCCGTAAGGACCTTCCATCATTTTTAGCGTATGGACTGAATATGTATCAAGATTTGGCAAAGCATTTGTAGGTGGCGCTTGTCAATGTCAATGTCCTTGCTCACAACACTATGTTCTATTGTGCGCAAGTAGGTAAAAATTTGATCGCCACCAATGGTTCACCTAGCTAATTTTCATCCTTATCCCATATGATTAAGAAGGCATAGAGATCCTAACGTCCTCTAGCCGAGAAATGTTGCACCGCACCACTATCACGGTCGACTGTCAAGTTGTCGGAATACTAAGGCCCGGTTTTTTGATTGCAGGTTTTCAATGCCAGATATGTCCTAAAATTGTAAATAACTTTAACCGGAAGACCATCTACTAGTTAACTAGAAAGTTGTAGTTACACTGGATTCCTAACCTTTTTCTTGACAATGACATGAGTTGTCGCGGATGACACGATACACAAAAAATATCGAGCGTTACAAAGCCCACAAAACACGATATTTCAGACGTAGAGGCAGCTTTGACAGATCAACCATAATGTGTTAGTTAACCAGAGAACTAATAGTAAAGTTAACTTACAAGTTATACTTATTAAACTTGAAAGTTCACGAGAAAACCGAGCCTATGGATTCACAGAGCAAACCAGCAATGGCTCTATGCATATGTGCAAGATATTGAGTTTTTCAAAAGACCATACCCACTTGTTTGCTTCCGGTTTCGTCTGTCCCCAAAACTAGACCTATACCGCACTGATGAGTTGCCAATGAGCATGAAACAGCGCTGTCTGCGGTTGGTCATGGTTACAGAGACGGAGTGCAAACATGTCAATTATAACTATATCCTATTTTCTTTGTCACCGAGAGTATAATAACCGAACGACTATAGTGTACATACCTGTTTGGTGGCAGCTGGGCGAACTGCTGGAAGGCGTAAGGCACCGAACTGTTGGCGAAGGTCGGCGTCGCCGTTTGCTGTGGGGGCGGCGACGAAGTATCCGGGAGTGGTACCACCTGTTGCGGTTGCGCCGTCGGCTGCTGAGCGGGCGGCTGTTGCACAGCTAAAGGTGCTGAAGGTACAGCTTGCTGCTGAGGTGGCACTGGCGGAAGTTGTTGCTGCTGCGACGGACCGCTGCTGTATGGCAGACCGTTCGTCCTTGAACAATAAATTAGTACGTTGAACATTGATGAACGTAGTCCACAAAGTGGTATGAAAGATACTAGCGCCATCTATGAGACGGTAGAGTAACACAAAAATTTGAAAAGGATTAGACTGTTTGGTTCTGCTACTGTATCATAGATGAGTCACCAAAAGGGGATTGGAGATCCTAGTGACATATATATTAATAATATTTATTCTAGCAGGTATGCACCCAATCACAGTAATGACAATTATACAGTAACAGTTTGTCTTACTAACAATAAATAGCTGTGCAATATACAAAAGGTACTATAAAAGTTTTGCAATACAGCTTTATTTATTGACTTCGTTCAAAGTAATTTCCACCACATTCAATACACTTCTCCATCCGCCAAAACCAATCCTTAAGCCAGCTACGTCAAGTTTCACCCGGGAGTGCGGCACCCTCGTTGTCCCAAGCTCTCAGAAGGTCTTAATCGGTAGAAAACCGTTTTCCCTTTAGCTTTATTTTCACATGCGGAAACAGATCAAAATTGCAGGGAGCAAGATCTGGACTGTAAGGAGGGTGATCAATAAGTTTCAGTCCAATAGTGGTTATGGTGGAGGTATCAAGTGTCCATTCTTAACTGTACCCGCATATTTTTCATATACCGACTTTAGTCGGGCACTGTTCCATGTACCACTTAGCTGTGACTGTCTTCTGTGTGTCCAAAACGACACGCTCCACAATCCCGCTCGATTTGAAAAATAAGCGATTATTTTTTTCTTAACAGATCGGGATTTTCTGACAGCTACGGGTGTGTCCTCATCATCAAAGACCCAAACTTTGTTTTGAGCCTTGGTCGGCACCTCGTAATAATGGAGCCAAGTCTCGTCACCTGTCACGGTGCTGTTCACATACCGAGATTGACGCCTTATCAAATATTTTCAGCGTCTTTCGGCACCAAGTTGTACAACAAGTGCTCTTCCTATGTCGTACCCAGAGAGAACAAGTTTTCTTACGTGTAAATGGTCATGCAGAGTTGAATAAATTGCTGGTACATGAAGGTGTAAGGTCTCCTCTGTCTGTTGGTATGTAACTCTCCGGTCTTCGTCAAGCATTTTCCTCACAGCATAATGTTTTTCTCTGTTACTAACGTTCGCCGCCTTCCTTCTCTCTCAGCGCCCTCCAGAGTGAAATTACCCATTTGGAATTCTCTGTACCACCTGAATATAGTCGTACGATGAGGACAGTCATTCTTTAATGCAAGCGTCATTTCCTCTAAGCACTGGTCTATGCTTAAACCACCCGTAAAGTTATACCGTAAAATTGCCCTTATCTTACTACGTGACCACGATGCCATAGTCCGCTCTTTACACTGTCAGTATGAATGAACAACAAATCAACAGACGTGCTGCTGGCGGCTACTATGCACTCATGGACATGCCTCAACTTGCAGCCTCCTGGGTCCGATTGTTAAGACAGATTGCAACACTTTTATAGGACCCTTTGTATATCAAAGTAAGAGTAGTAAATTAAACAAGAACACAAAAAGCATAATTAAAATAGACATATAAGATATCCCAGTAAGAAGTAAAATGCAATAAAAAGAAAGAAAGAAAAAGTGAGTCACCAGCATCCTTACAATCTTCTTTTGTTTTAAGCACCTCCTTATATTTAGCCACCCGTACCATAACTGTACCATTTATTACGTGATATAGTGAGGTTCAAATTTTGCTGACGCCGTAATGTTTATGAGAGAAGCGAGAGCCGCGAGCAATATGTATGTTAGAAAGAGTGCGCCCTCGTGACTCGGGTTGCTAGACAAAGAGATGCTTCTATCTCTTTCTAAAAAACGTACTGCACGCTTCTCCCGCTTGTCTTTCGTACACATATAGATTTCACTGTATGTACGATACTCGTGACATACGTCAGTACCAACCGAGACCAAAACGTTGAGGCCGCTTTGTGGTGTTGAATGTTAGCGTCCATGCTTCAGTGCCGTAATAAAGGATAGAGACACAAGTCGCACACTCGAAATTGTACAAACAACTTTTTCCGTTCGGCACGGCTATCATGTATCTTAAAAAGTGACGTTGTATCGATTTTTTTTTGACACTATAGTGTTTTTTTGACATTATGTAGGTTTTTCTACAAGGTGTTAACTTAGCACTTAGCACGTGTTGCCTAAACGTCATGAGGCTTTAGTTATCAATGTTTGGCTGTGATGTTATGTAAAATTTGCTGAGGAGATTGCATTACTGGAGGTTTAAGCTGTAAGTTGTATGTGTTGATGATAATTCCATTGGATTCTTGTCTCAAATACACTTAATCGAGATTAAAAGCTAGAAATTAGTTGCGCAGCCACTTTTTCTTATCCATTCTGGAAAATAAATATAAAAAATTTGCTGAATTTAAAAAATGAGAGAGATAAGAAATAATTATATTCACTGTACACTGTCGAAGTACAAGCCATCCATATACATGCTAACCAGTGCCGGATGCTCCGCTGTTCGATTTTCGTCCGCCGGCGCGCATGACGTCACGCGGAGAGTGATTATCATTTGGGTTAATATGGATAACGTGCATATTTTCACCTAAAGGCTAAACGGATTTTCACATATAACAATAAATGGAAATGACTTAGTCTAAGCCACAATTTTTCTCCATTTCCTTTCACGATTTTTCTGGTCTTTCAAGAAAAACATTCTTGTCCTGAAAAATAAATAAAAAGCTTTTTCAGGGCACTCAATGTTACTGCTCTTCAACAGAAGTTACCATATAAAATTTTGCATTTCTGCCACTATTCCGTCCTCATTGAAAACACACCTTGTTCAGCTTCTCAATTTGATTCATGAAAGCTGTGGAAGGTTTTGATAATCCACCCTCACTAAGATGGTCTATCCAGGAATAAATTTCATTTGAGGAACTTTTCAACCTCTCATCCTGCAATTTATGGCAAACAAAGCCGGCCAAATTTTTCAGCCCATCATATTTCTTCCACTAAAACTTCCTCGTTATAGTCAGCTGATACTTCAGGTGCATTCATTTTATTTTTATTCGTTAATGATGCGGTTAGTGGATTGCTGGAGTATCCTCTCACTCTACTCTGCAATACTCTGAGTATGCGCCTTCGTTTCGCCTCAAAATATATGACCTTATTCTATACTTAAACTCTAAGGGATAAGTTGAGCACTTTGCCTTTTTTCGTAAGCACTTTTCCGCTTTTCACCATAACAGATGTAGATGGTCCAGGTGATGATAGAGACTTGGGTAAATTTTCCATAGGAATGGCATCATCTTTTAGAGCCCGATATCTTTTAGGGGTGTAACCCAAAAGGGTATGTTTCAAATTGACCTTATAGGCACTTTCACAAAAGTGCTGCGAGCAAACGCTAGCACTTTTTACATTGATTTTGATTTTTCATTTTGTATGATGTAGCCATGTCTTGAGGAAAACTGTAGGATACATGTCTTTGCAAGGATTCCGTTTAGACTGGTTGTCGGAATTACATCCCACAACAGCACACCGCATTTTTAACAATTTATCAACCACACAGGCTATATAAAGTATGTATAACTAGAACAGGTCACAAAACCACCAAAAAACAGCAAAAAATCGCACTATATAGTATTAACCACGATACACGTGAACTGCAGTAACGTTACGACAATCATGCCGCTGGTAACCACAAGCCGACAACTCTCCGGGTGACGTCACGAAGCTCCGCCCACATGCGCAATATCCTATCTTCAGTGTATGTGTATCGTGCATGCTAACAGTAATTACACACAACGCGGGCGCGGTTATGATTTCCCGTAATTCTCCTCAGTTTTTCGTAATCTATGACTTTGAATATGACCTCTCTTCAGAAAGCACAACATACAAATAACCCGTCATATTCAACATATTCAGTAATGATTTTCTCACACAGCAAATATCACTGATTTTATACACATGCAGACCAATCAATACACATAATCATCCAGATGCAATCTCTTGCTATTCAACCAACTTTATTCTCAGAGATAAATACTACAGACTCAGCCTCACAAAACATATACAACCAATGATGCGTATAGTTTAGTTCAGTGATTACTCCATAGATGGACGTTCACAACGATCCTAGTGAGCAAACGTGGAATGACTGTTTGCACCCTAAAAACTACCTAGCCTGCAAGTTGACATCTTAGAGGCTTTTTTGACGTTTAATAGGTTTTTTACATGATACCCGTGCCGTAGAACGAACTACGTGCGTTCTCAGTTCGTATTTTAACTTCATATGAGTAGTCCCATTTTTAATTACAGGTGACAGCCAAGTTAATTAAACCCTTCTACTCATTATAGTAGGGCATGTTCTGCATATGTGCATTCAACTTACCGTTCTTGCTGTTTATCATTATCTTGATCTTTCTAACATTCAAATTGAGCCCATATTTAGGACTCCATTGTCTGGCCAAATCAAACCACATATTTAGTTTAATTTCTCCTTATTTTGCGATATTTCGGCCACCACGGTGGCCTTTTTCAAGTACAATGACAACTACTGACAGTATATCTTTGTTTAACTGTCTTCCAGGTGACAGTTCATTTTTTTTCATTTCTGCGTTGCGGCAATAGATTGAACTCTCCTGTAGCATTCCCAGATCGCGCGAAGCCATGATTACAATTTGAAGATGGCACCGCGTAAAGCCCAGGATCGCCTGGGGTAGGCATTCTCTGTTCTCAAAGCACATACACCCGCCTAAAAGGCCAAGCGAACATGAGGTTTATCCGTCGGTTCTTTAATGTACCAGACACACCACTCCCGCCCATCGTCCGAAAACGCTAAACGCCCTACGAGATCGCGAAAAAACCCACCCAGCACTACTGTCGCAACATACCGGTTAGCTATGTAAATCCTCGACTATTCTGCTAACGCTGACGTGATCAATGAGCGTTTGTAAACCTTCAGCATTATCTAAGAATAGTACCATAAAACGCAAATTATTTTTTAGACCACTGATGAACGAATGAAGTAACTCACCTCGCCTTATCCCCCCTACCAGGTCCGTGGTGCGGCGTGGTGGCTGTGGTTGGTTGTCCCGTAGCGATGATCGCCACTGGGGGCGGTGGAGGCGGCATCACCACCGTAGGCTGTGCGCTCTTCGGCGTGCTGGGCGGAGTGTCCTCGGGGCTGCTGCAGCTGCCCACCGACGAGTTCGATTGGTGCAGCGAGGAGTTCTCGCCGTCCAAGTGAAGAGCGTGCATTTGCTCTACCAGGTACGGGCGCACCTGGGAATAACGTAATACTTTCCAGAAGTGGGATAAATAACGCTTCTATTTACTATGTTTTCCTACAAATCAGTATGATTACTACTTTTACATTATCCTTAAATGCTCAGAAAAATGAAACTTTTTATGACCACTAAAGTAAACCGTGGTCATAAAAATGCTTATTATTATTTTCCTTTTTTTAACTTGAATATAAGCCGAAAATATCGGAACTAAAAATTTTTCATAGATAACTTTCGATAATATTGAATGTCTCTCTAGAATCATCCATCTTTTCTTATTACAGCAATTACCTTTCTAGCTGAATAAATTAAAGATTTCACCTAAACTTAAAGAACGAAGTCATACCTTTCCACCTCCAATGTAGGCTGGAAACCTCACCCCGTTAGGTTTGGCATCTCCAGGAGGTATTGGTGGATGGTGATGAGGATGGTGCAGGTGATGAGGCCAGAGAATCTCTCGCAAGTGCTTCTCTTCCATAGAATTCATCTGAAAATTAGGAAATTTGTTTCTAATAAACGGTACCATACAACTACACATGATCTGAAATGTTTAATTTGTTACAATAGTAATATTTGAAAACACCTGGGGTTTTATAGTGCACCCAAAATTAAATCATTACATACGTACTTTACTGTGTTAACATCTACTGTATCTCGAATTTGGATTGGTTATTGCTTCCGCGGTATTAGTGATTCAAGACTTTTTAGTGCAAAAACGAATCTTTAACTCGTCCGTAACATTATTTTTGACATCGATGGCAAATAATAAAGCCCAGAACATAAGACTTTTCATGACCACTAAAGTGAAACATGGTAATATATCAGAACCTTGCAAAAAAAATTATAGAAAAATTTCAGTAATATTTGTGTTATGATTACATACTTCAAACCGGTCAAGAAACGATCAGGTTCAGAACCATAAAATCACATAACAAGTGACCACAAAACCAGCAGAACTAAAATAAAAAGCTACCTTATCACATTGCATATACACGGTGTCCCATTTTAATATCTACATCTAAATATTTCGAAAAATGCGCATTCTAGAAAAAAGTTTCAAACGACAAGATGATCTTGACGAACATTGTCGTTACCTTGACCTAAAGGTCACGTTAGGAGGTAAATTTTCGTGCCTTTCCATTTCCAGAATAAAAATGAGAGGTTTCCTTTGTAAATTTTGACTTGACCTTCAAAGTCATGGTGAAGGTCACCTATGGGTGAATCCCACGAACCTTACAACTGTGGTGTCGAGCATGTGCCAAGGCCATGTCCAATGTGATTTTGGAAGTAAAATTTGTTCCTCATTTCAATTGCGTTGTGCAAAAGTGAGAATGCCCACAACTTTTGTTTGATACTTTTTTCTAGAAAGTGCAGTTTTCGAATTTTAAGTAGAGAGATTAAAATGACAATAACAAACGTCAGGGCAACTTAATCCATTTAGAAAACTGCCTTTTTCTTGCATTTATTTTTGTGATCTAAAACTCATATCTCTATTATATTTGAACCAATATGTTTTTATAACCTGTAGTTATTTTCCAGCTTTGCGAATTGCGGCAACAGCACAGAATAAGGAAAAAATAACTTTACGAAGTCAGCTCCCCCTTGTTCTAGGTAAAGAACGAAGATTCTTATTTCTATAATAAAGAACGATGAATCGTCTCGCAATTGCGCAAAATCAGAACAACGAGAATCATAAGCAGCAGAATGAGAGCGCAAAAAACTCTATCCAATCTTCATACGCATTGTTTCCAAAATACTGTTTCTATACTGCGGAGACTTTGGATTCCACAGACATTCATGATTTCGATATAGAATGACAAACTTTAACATCTTGTCGTCACCCCAGCGCACCATTTTTGGAACACCCGCGCACCTGCTGCGAACAACTGCTGCTCAATAATAGCATGCTTAATAATCGCACGACGATCGATTTTTAAGCATGCTCAAAAAAAGCATGCTTATTTCTAGTAACGTATGTACACACATGCTACTAAGCAGCAACTGCTCATTAATAGCATGCCTTTGCGCTAGATTTGAGCATGTGTATCTGTAGCTTTATCCGTTTTCGTCATACTCCGAAGTAACTCCCTGTAAACTAAAATCACAACATGTCAAAATTCTATCAAAATTTTAGTTGAATATGGCAAAATCAAGATGTCACAAGTGCGAGGAGAAATGTGGAAAAGGAAAAGCACATCCGGACGTAATTCGGACGCTGGAAGCCGGCTACAGGGACCTTGTGTTATCCGACTCCAAATCCCTGCTGAAAAAGTACCTAACCAAAGAAGTGTTCGATAAATTGAAAATAAAAAAGACCTCTTTTGGATCGACATTGATGGACTGCGTTCAATCCGGTTTTGCTAACCACGATTCAGGCATCGGAGTGTATGCCGCAGATCCTGAATGCTACCATTTATTCGCTGATCTGTTTGACCCACTCATTAACGAGTACCATGGCGGATTCAAAAAGTCTGATCAACATCCACCGATGGATTTCGGTGATCTGAACGCTTTCGGAAACCTAGACCCCAAAGGAGAATACGTGGTTTCAACTAGAATCAGATGTTGCAGGTCTATAGAAGGATATCCTTTCAATCCAAACCTTACAGAGGCACAGTACTGCGAGATAGAAAATAAAATGATGGATATTTTTTCCACCTTTCCTTGTGAGCTTAGTGGATCTTACTTCCCGTTGAAAGGTATGACCAAAGAGGTTCAAAATCAACTTATAGACGATCACTTTCTGTTCAAAGAAGGCGATAGATTTTTGCAAACAGCGAACGCCTGTAGATACTGGCCTGCGGGCAGAGGAATCTTCCACAATGCAGACAAAACATTCTTGGTTTGGGTGAACGAAGAGGATCATCTAAGGATCATATCACTCCAACAAGGAGGAGACCTAGGTCAGGTGTACAACAGATTCGTCAGCGCAGTAGAGGAAATGCAGAAAAAACTCACTTTTATGCGCGATAAACGATTCGGTTATTTGACTTTCTGCCCTACGAATTTGGGCACTACCATCAGAGCTTCCGTACATATTAAAGTACCGAAATTATCGGCAAATATGAAGCGGTTCGAGGAGTTGGCAGGACAGTATAACTTGCAAGTAAGAGGCACTCGAGGTGAACACAGCCAAGCTGAAGGAGGGATTTATGATGTCTCCAATAAGAGAAGGCTCGGTCTGACCGAATTTCAGAGTATCAAGGAAATGTACGAAGGAATCCAAGAAATTATTAAGCTGGAAAAAATGGCCAAGTAATTTTTCTTGAATAGTAGACTGTATTTTAATAATAATTGATAATATATGTAATATTTGCGAATTAAACATTTTTTGATGAATCAAATCTTTAATTTGTTCTCTCGCTGAGTTATACGGTCATTATAAGTAAAAGACATCTACAATTTACAGTAGGCCATACAAACGAGGTCTGTAAATTAAGTGATGATACTGATTTTTTATTTTATTTTATTTTTATTCAAATATAATTACAATTTTATATTGTCACCCTTAAAATAACCTTCTGAAGCCACCTAGCGCTGGAGACGGTTATTCCACTTCTCATAGCAAAGCTGGAACTCCGACACTGAAATAGCCTTCAGCTTTCAGCCATTTGAATGTTTTCGACTGTCCTAAAATGAGTTCCCTAGGTGATTTTTCAACTAACGGAAGAGAAAAAAGTTACAAAGACTCAAGTCAGGTGAATAAGCAGGCTGAGGATGAATGTTTTTACTGGACAAAAACTCGTTTATTATTCTTGATCTGATGAACGGTGATGCGAGTTAAATTCAACTCTTCCCCAACCATTCTGACTGTCAACCGACGATCTGAACGCCCAAGATCCAGAATTCTGTCGAAATATTTATCGGTTCTTGAAGATGAAGGCCTTCCGCTTCGTGGTTCATCTTCAATCACTCTCTCGCTTCTGAAAATGTCTTAAACCACCGAAAAACTTGGGTTCTTGACAAAACATTATCTCCGCAGGCCTGCTTAAGTTTAGGAACAGTTTCCATTGCACTGTGCCCAAGTCTGAAGCAAAACCTGATAGCACACCGCTGCTCGAAAATGATGCCATTCATGTTTAGAACACAATAGGAAAAACTGCTACGGACAACCAAATGGCTCGAGCGAGTTCAAACTGAACGCGGATCCCGCGTTCCCCTGTCTCCCCTCCAAATCCGGCGCCTGCAGTGTTGCCAGATCGAACGCTACGTTGCCAGTATCATCAATTAATTTACAGACTTCGACTATACAGTTTAATTTTGATCCCAAAAATCATTGTATCAATGTTTGATAAAGTTTGAGGAGATAATTGACTTGAACCAATATTTTACAGGTATACATTCATGATTCTTGTCGGAAATTGGGCATGGTTTCTGAAGAAATTTGCTGCATGAAATCCGAACCTCAAGCCAAAATAACTGGTTCATCGTGTCGTTTTGAGGTATTTGAGATAATGTACATGGAAGCTAGTTTTGCTACTTTTGAGAATGTGAATAGAATATACCAAAATGTCTTATTATTTCTCACTTTATCAATACTAAACAAAAAATCTGTTAAGAAAACATTTTTTGAGAACACCAATCTCCAATATCTCAAAATTATGACGTGAAGATTCAGCCTTTGAGGAGTAGGTAAGACAACAGCTCAATATCAAACTCTTACAAAAACATTATTATAAAATCTTACTACACGTCACATGGGCTTGCGGAAAAGAAATGCTTATGCTAGACACATCATCACAAATAATCTTTCATTAGTTAGCTGATCTACAATAAAATGCTTACAAACATATAGAAAAAAAAAACCATGAATTTCAGAGCAATGGAAGTGTTTACCCCAAATTGCGCTTTTTATTATCTTAACAAGAAATGTAATAGCATAAAGCATCCCCAATATTTCACATTAGGCGTTAGCTAGTCTAGCATACACGTTAGTTGATGATGATTTTGAACAAACAATAGCGCTTCCTCTTAATGAATATTCAAGGGAGAATTTAACATTTGCATTTCATAGCTGTCATCAGGTTTTCAAAATTCGGAAAATTTTCAATATGTTGTGTTCACCTGAATCTAATAAATCGAACATAGCTATAAACCCTGCCTTTACCTGCACGTTTGTAAAAGTTGTGCCGTCACTTTTTATCACACATTTTAAACGTTTCCCAGTTTCCATTCAGAAATCGAACTGCTTATACAGAGCAGTTACATACATGATTCCGAACAATTTCGTAGGTTTTCCTTTATTTATAATTTTTAACTTTTAACTTTGTGTGTATATGTGTGTGTGTGTGTGTGTGTGTGTGTGTGTAATAGAGAGAGAGCGAGAGAGAGGGGGAGAAATACTGTTTTGTGCTCAATTGATTGCCATCAAATGACACTTTTTATATTTTTTCTATTAAGAAAACCTTAATGTGATGATAGTCCAAAATCTGTGCTGTCAGACATATTATTTTCTGCACGATAAAACCTGGGCCAAATTTATATGTACTCTCAACGCCTGCGTACCTGCCAAGATAGGTAGAGGTCCGATTTAATGGTACAATACTAACTTAAATACTTAAATATTGCTCTTGCTCTTGATATCACGAAAGCGTTCTATCAGCTGTGGAACGCTGCGCTCTTATGCAAACCTCCATCCTATGGCCACCCAGAGAAGCTTTGCAGATGGATGACTGACTTTCTCTCTGGCCACAAAATATCCGTCGAAACTGACGGGTCTTCCTCTTCATCCCACAACGTCAACGCAGGTGTTCCCCGAGGATCGGTCTTAGCTCCCACACTATTCCTCTTACATATCAATGACCTCCTTTCCTGTATGGTCAACCCAATCCACAACTTTGCTGATGTCACTCTACATGCAGGAATTCAGAGCGACAAGCCTATCTCTGCCCCTAAGCTGGAAAAAAGATGACTAGCGGCGGCATCACCTCTGACGAGAGACCTGGATGTTATCACTGCTTGGGGACGCAATAATCTTGTACAGTTTAATTCTTCCGAAAACGTAGTACTGTACCTTGACGAACAAAAAGCGTCCTAGCGCTCATCCGGTTTCATTTCGGCCGATCGGAATCCAGATCACCTGGCACGAACACATTTCGTCAATAGCGGCAGCTGCTGGGTAAAAGCTAGGCTATTTGTTCACAGCTAAGAAACCTAGCCTCGAGAATTGCTCACAAGTTTGGGGTGCTGCCGCCCCGACTACATTATTTATGCTAGATACAGTCTCGTGACCCTTTCACACCGGCGGCGGAGGGCTGTAGGCGATCTGGCTCTCTTCTACCGTTACACCAACGGGCTGTGCTCCTCGGAGCTCTCCGCCATGATGCCGCCGCGCGATGTGCCTGCCAAACAGACCCGGCTGACTTTGGCCTTCCATCCTAGCCGTGTCGAACTTCGTACATCCAGAACTGGCCTATACGACCGCTTCTTTGTCCCGATGGTTTCGAGATTGTGGAACAATGTACAAGAGGAAGCTTTTCCCAGTTCTACTAACCTTAAGCAGTTCAAAAATCGGATTAACAAAATTTCTTTGGGATCCTCATAGCAGCCGCGGTGCCCTGGCATTTAGGCTTCTGCTTCAGTGTAAAAAAAAGTTCAGCACTGCCAAGCACTTTCCGCTGGCCACAACTTCTGCCAGATGCTAAAACAAGATGTCCAGCTATATATTAACCTCGCTGTAAGGATCAGGACACCTTGTTTAAAGCTGCTGTCAAAAGTATGAGTAATTGGGCCGAAATGTGACAAATAACAGATTTTTTTGTTTTTCGAACTCGAGGATTACCACGTGTTCAAATTAACTATCTCACCTTGACCTGTTGCTCGACCTCTTCCACCGTCGCCATATGCCCCACTTCCCCGACGAACTGCGTCACAGGCGGCGGGGGCGGCTGCTGCGTGAGCTGATCCAGCTGCTCCAAAGTGGGAGGTGCCGCAGGCAGCGGCGGTGGCACGCCCATCGGCGTCGGAGGCGGCACCATGACAGAGGATGACACCGGAGACGGCTGCTGATTGGCCGACGACGTCCGATGAGGGGAGGAACTACGGCTGCTGGCCGGAGAGATGGCTGCCGGGGGCGGGGCACCGGTGACTAGCGGAGTTATGACGGAGGCGGTGACCGCGCTTGGAAACGGGGGCACCTAAACGAAAGAATATGATAACATAACAAGCGCGCCATAAAATATATGGTGCAAAAAAGTGGTTCGCTTCTTTACAGTATACCTACCGGAAAGTTTCATCAAAAAAAAAAAACAAAAAAGTTTCAGGAAAATTCTAACAACGCCCATTCAATTCTACATAACGTTGCTCCCATATCTATCTAATTTACGAACAGTACCGAGCAAAAGTAGAGAAACAAACCACATTACAAATAAAAATCCAGAAAGATTTACTCTAACCCAATACTGTACACTAAAGTTTTTTATGTATGACTACCTCAAGATAATGAAATGCTTATCTTTGTATACATTCTTTTTTTTAAATATAATATGTTCGGTTTTTTGTTCAACGAGCAAAAGTAGAGAAACATTTTGTAAATATTTAGTTTATATTTAGTCGTTGATTAGAGTAGGTGTTATTTTTTAGTGTGTTTGGTAGAGTGTAGTTCAATAACATGGCCAGATGAATTACACTGAATTTGCAAATAAAAGAATTGATTATTTTAAAATATCGATCAGGCATCAAACAAGCAACCATAGCCAAACAGCCGAATTTAAGCAGATCGGTAATTTGTGAAACTATTAAGCTTTTCCGCCTCAGAAAATCGTTGGTAAGCCCTCCTAAGACTGGTAGATCGCGCAAAACCACACCTAGGATTGATAGGAAAATTAAAACACTTGCTCTTAAAAATCCATTTACTACTGCTGTCGACATAAAAGCTCAACTTGAAGAAGTAAATATTGGTGTCCATACTGTTCCAAGACGTTTAAGGGAGAGTGATTTACCAGCAAGGAGACCATCTGCAAAAAACCTTTATTTCCAAAAAAAATCGGACCGCCGTCTTCAATTTACTTGCGTCAAAATTGAAGGAATTATGGACCGGTATAAATACTTGGAAATAGTAACAGATACCATGCTACCTTACCCAGAAGAAAACATGCCGCTACGCTGGCGGTTCCAGCTCGACAACGACCCCAAGCACACAGCAAAAATAATAAAAACATTTTTTGCAGATCACAATATTAATGTCATTGAGTGGCCAGCTCAGAGTCCATATCTTAACCCCATAGAGAACCTATGGGATTTAGTGGATAAAAAAATTCAGACTGAACATCCAGAAAAGTTCAAAAATAGTGCCGAACTATTTGAAACAATCGAAGTCACCTGGAATTCTATTCTAAAAGAAACAATAGATAGCCTAATTGATTATATGAGAAAAAGATGTCTAGCAATTATCAAAAATAAGGTTATGCAACCAAGTATTAGCTTCTTTGTATACGAAAATTGCTTTGTATATTATGTTTCTCTATTTTTGCTCACTGTATTTTCTAATAATAATTGTTACCATAGTTTTATTAAAGCAAAACTTTTATTTTCATGTTGGCTTTGAATTACATGTTACATTAAGTTATGATAAAACTTAAGTGTTTGGTTTACTTTAATAGTTTAATAAAATCTTTAAAAAAATAAAATGTTTCTCCACTTTTGCTCGGTACTGTATATTTTAGTAATAGGACTTCATAAAACTCGTTATTCTATTTTTAGTATGAGATTTCGATTATTATAAATCATATATTATGTAAATACGGGAGACTGAATATATCTTTCAGTAATTCAGTATGCTTGTTCAACTGGCCGAAGAAGTGAAACGTACCTATATTTTAGCGAGCTATACAATGTTAAGAAGCTGAAATTTGACATGTTTATTTTAAATAAGTATTTATTAACTCAATGGGTTTGCTCCGTCTTATTACAAATTACCATGCGCCAGCTTCGCTTCGCTCAGCAAGCCTCTTAATTATACATATTCTGGGGTGTCTGTGGAAATGATGAATTGCTATTTCGTAGCGCACGCCATATTGAATTCAAAAGAGCGGCATTTAATTTATTGTGCACTATCATGAGAACCAAGCATTTATTTATTAATTTCCTCTCGACAAAAAACATTGTATAGGAATGTTCATACATTTTCAAATCTATATCCAACTAAAAACGGTCAAATAGTGAAAAATAAGATTTAATGGCATATATCACAATATTCTTCGACACAATGAAAGCAAAAGAGATTCTGAAATGTCTTTAGACTGTGGCAATTCTTTACTTCCAAATGAAGTAGTTAAACATTTTTATGGCATTAATACTTGGGGGCTTACACATAATTTGAGTTCTATGGGGTAGCATATAAAAGTCTTCACTAATCCTCGTATTAACTGAATACATTTGGCCGTGTGTTGGAAATTTTTATCTACGTTTAAATATGCATAAACAAGTTTCCAATGTATATAAATCAGTAAGTGTTAGTAGAGTCAAGTTGGTGAATGTGGAATACTTTTCTTTTGAAGCCTATAATTCCATACTAATTTGAGGCATTCAAATAAATCAAGTAGTTCCGATATCTGTGAGGTTCTGTCAAGTCGCTGGAGTAATTTAGGTCACATATTTTGAGTCGATGCATTTGCAAAAATGAAATTATGCGAAGCGTGTAATATGTAGCAATGGAAAATTAGTATAGTAATGTGGAATGCCACTGAATAGTAGAATAAGATATTATTTTCTGACCAATTGTGTCCTTTTATTTCTTTGGAAGGCATTTTCTAAAATAAAAAGTCACAGATAGTCCAAAACATAAACAAATTCAGTACCCTTAATCAGTAGGCCCGGTAATGTGGAACACTCGTATGGTTGATGTTTGGAAATATTCCACAATACCATTCCACCCTCACTTAATCTCAAGTTTATAGCTAGAATCTATAAACATAGATATGATAATTAATTCACACATAATTTGATAATGCATGTATCTGAAGGTTAACAACAAATAGTAATTATTAGAACAAAGTTGTACTTTTCCTAGAAATACAAAAAAATGGCAACCAGTCCAATGTTTCAATATTCACCTTTACCGGTTTCACCAACTTTTTTGAGGTTATGCTCCTTAATCGATAAAACAGCTTGTATCAGATAGTTATGCTACTGATACAAGAGTAAATAATGCCATGGAAGTGCAGGTGACGCTACTGGTTTTGGAGATATCTGACTATTCCACTCTACCTGCCTATTCCATATTCACCAACTTTACTCTACTCTGAATCTCTTAAAGAGATGATATTCTAGCCCTAACATCTGCTATACATCTGATAATTCTTTTCTGTTTCATGAACACATCTTTTGAATTAGTAGAAATCCCTCAAAATGATATGCCATATCTTATGACATAGTCAACCTATGCATATATACATGTATAGAATTTCAGCTCAATTGGTTAAGGTTAACTGCTTCAAAATTCAGTTTCAAGATTTGTCCCACACTAACATACCAGCTAAGAAATCAAGTTAAATGAAAGCAACAAGGTAATCTCATGCTTTTCAAAAACAAGCCATTCCTGGTGGCCTTGAGAATATCTCGCATTCCGACCGGTTGACAAATCGTCCTTTTAATGATGGGCGACATCTATTCGTTTATAGAATGACATTCGGTGTTGGCCAAAGCTTTGGCGAACTATTTGTAGATGGCAGCTGTCAGAGCTATTACCTCTTGGCGCAAATAAAAGTATGTAAAATTTTACCAATTCGGATAAAGTATCACCGGCAAACTTCCTGCTCCCGACATGATTCCTGCAGTGGTGTTGCGTCTATTGCAAATTTCCATTCCAAATAAAAGAAAAATACTAGTCGTACCTCAGGTGGCGCTCCATAAGGGAAGCCTGGTCTTGCCGACCACACTGTAGCGGGCCCGCCCGAGGGCGGCGGAGCCGGAACAAAGTCCAAATGGGGCGGCATGGGTGGCAGCCGCGGCAAGCCGGGTGGTTGCTGGTGATGGTAGGCTATGGGCGTCGGATGGGGAATTGCATCCCCTCCCGCTGCAGTTGAGCATGTCATCGATGAGGGCGGCGAATGCTTTGGGGCGGTTGGAATCGCGCCACCTGCCACCGGTTGCTGGTACAGTTGGCTGCACTGACATTGCTGCTATGGGACGATTGATTAGTCCAAGATTAAAATATACAGATTTTTCCAACAATTATCCAAAAACCACTAGACACATATGGTGGTGCAACTGTTCGAGTTTTACCATTGATTAATGGATTCAATATTGGCAACCATATACTCCAGCGCCCAAAAAGATATCTCAAAATACGCTAGCGCCATATAGTAGAACACAAAAATGAATTTAGACGTCCACTCTGAAGAGAGTTAAAGTGTTGATTCTACTTCTGTCTCATAGATGGTGCTAGGTTATTCAATCTATTTTTGGCGAATTTCTAATACCTATTTTAATTGAGTGGAATGATTTAATTAATGCCTGAAGATAATCAAAATAGGCATTAGAGAGGTGCCAAAAGGGATCAAAGATAACAACGCCATCTATGAATAAGTAGCAGAACCAAACTATTTTCACAGTTCCAATTACATTTTTGTGATCTGCTACATCATAGATAGTGCTAGCATATTTCAGGTCTTCAGGAATTGATTAAAGTATTCTACCTGAAGATATCTAATTAAAACAAATACTAACTCTATTCAAAGTAAATTTCTAAATTACCCTACTGTTTCATAGATGGTGTTAGTCTTTATTATATCCCTTTTTGGACGGTGGAATACAGTATGTGGTGGACTATCTTCAGGAATATATTAATCAATGATTTTTCTCAACATTGACAATACACTATAATCAACTGCTGCAATGTTAAAGGTACATTGTAAAATTGAGTTGTTTTTCATCTTTCATATTACACAAGAAATACAATTGTAGAGCATAAGATAATTTTGTTACCATTTATGCTCATAAACACCAAAGCTATCAAAAGATAAACTAGATGCCATAGTTTTCTCATCACATTTGCAAAATGCATAACAATAGTTAATAGTTGCATCACCTTATATATAGTTTGAAAATCATGCTTACTACAAGTTATGTGGTAATTATGCAGTAAAAGTTTTGCAAACTAATTTTAAAGGAATGAAAACATTTTTATGAAATGGAGAGTGTGTATTATCAGCAAGCTTAATTAAAGCTTTATGAAAGTAAGAGTAGGTACTGGAAAAGTAAATTATGACAAACATTTTTACATAATTAATCCTTAACTGGTAACATGCCACCTGTACTCAAACCCATTCAGATTTTCGTGGATTTTATAGAAAAAATATTACTGAAGAGAATGGCCATACACTTCTATAATTTTATTGTTCTACTGGTAAATTTTTCAGAAGTGCTATACATAAAGATGGTAAATATATACTTAATATTTAATCATTATTTGTAAAAAAACATTCAGCACATGAGGTTTGCTTCCTGAAAAAGATGTCTTAATTTGGAAGATTTGCAAACTATCTTCACATTCAGAAAACTTAGTTTATATAACAATGAATAATTATGGACCTATATTCATTATTTGTAGCATTCATGGAAAAGGCAATAAATATTACCAAAAACTTGAACAAAAAAAAGAGGTTTCTTGCTCAAGAGCTAGGACTTTGCAAACATGGGTTACATAGATTAATGATAAAATTAAAGCAGACAAAACTGAAAATAAACAGTACTGATTTATAAAATGCCAAAAATATGCAAAGTATTGCAACATAAGACATTTTTAAAAATTACCATCCAGTGAAAAGAAATCAATATATTGAAGTTAACTTAACAAATACTGCATAACTTGCAAAAATAATGTAAGAATAATTTGAAATACTTGCCAAAATTTTAGCTAGACTCACTTTTCTGTTGATACAGTATATTCAAAAACTGTTGAAAACGAATGCTGTCTGAATTTGACAAATAGCATATTTGAATTAGTTTTTTAGTAAAAATAAATACCAGCCATATAGGAAGGTTTAAGTTATTCCTTGATAGACATGCTGTCTAGAAGCAAAAATGTAACAAAAACTTAAGTTGAAATCATTATGACCTTGGCATGTTTTTAGATACATTTACAGCTATTTTTTGTAATACTATGAGTGAGTTGTGAATAAATCTACACAAAATCTACTCTAATCTACAAATTCTTAAAAGGAATATTTACTTCACAAAATAGAGCTCACTAGATTAGAAAAATATAGATTATTTACCTTATTTGTGGGGTATCCAAATCCAGGTGGATATCCAAGTGAACTATGTTTTGCTGAAACTCTGTTTTCTTTAAAATCTATTAAGTTTGATAATACCCTACTGAAGAACTGTTTCTGTTCAAATGTAAATGCAGGATGGTGTAAAGCCATTGTATACAATAATAAAAATTCACTATGTAACATATCATCTTTTCCTTTTTCTTTCACTAAATATTCCTCAATATGGTCTGTCCTTAAAAGTTTTCTATATAACCAGTTAGACACACTATAGTTTCTAGATGATAGTAATGATAAGTATATTAGCAGTCGATGTCGCACAGTCTCTTCCAAAATCCCATGACTTAGCAATGGGTCTTTGCTCAGTTTCTCCAGGTCATTTGCTGTGATAGTAGGACCCCTAAGTTCTTGATAAGTGTGCTTTCCAATCTCTTCAACACACGACCCAATGAACCGTAACTCAAAAGGTAAACACATATTTAGTAATTCGTATAACACATCTATCCTTGTATAACTATCCAAGTCCTTGAACCATAATAAAACCTCCTCTTTACACACCATTTCCAGACTACATTGATATTACGTTGCGATCTTCTGAAAATATAAGAACGTTAATGTGAAAAAATGCGTAACATAACCTAACTTGACTTACATCAAATGCATTCAAGACCATTACAGAAGGTATGTGCATCAATCGAAACGAATTTTCGTCTTTGGTAGCATCATGTGTTACGTTCTAACTACTGGTGGCTAAAATTTAAAAATTTTACGAAGCTGAATAACACACTGACAGGGTAGCTGGACAGATGAATGCTTGATTAACCGAAAACACTTTTTACGGTGCGTTCACAACTGTTCACAACGCATTGTTATCATCTAATTTTTCTTTAGTGGATTCCCTGTATCATATCCAAATCTTGTAAAAATTCGGACAATCCAAAATTCTGCACAGTACGGTATGAAATTTAGGAAAATACATCTCTGAAGTTCACTTCCATCTAGCCTGCAGTATTGCCAGTACTCACACTCACCATATTTGCTTCAAAAACATTTTGCAAAATTGACAATTTCACATATAAAAAATAACGCTTAAAAAATGAGGAATCTAAGCAAAAATAACTGAAATTTTACCCTAAAAAGGCGATGTACTATGGATTAGTCAAATTAACCATACAAAGAGTGTTGAAGATAAAATCTCGAACATATTTGCTTTTTTTTTTGCTGAAGCAGTGTTATTATGTATACATATCTATATCCGTTCTCATTATTCGGCAGCGATTTGATCTGTTTATGAAAAATATCACACAAAATATATAAATCAACCGAGTCCTGTGACCTACATATGACAAATTATTTCCCCAGCCTCAGGTCACAAGCTGTAGATCTGACAATGCTGCCACTAACTTTTCCATTGTCAACATGTGATGAAGCCGCCAAAATAAGACTTGTTTGAATTTTGGATTTTTATAAGCATCCAGATAGATTACAAATTGTTGATATAATCAATTATATGATAAAAACTATATTATTTAATTTCTTATGCTTCTTTGTAAACAAAATTACATTGATACAACTACACATATTTAAATTTGACCTAATTAGGAAGCAGAATTCAAATGTTATTTGAACAGTGGTAATCCTTGACTACCAACAGAAAAATTTGATTTAATTCATTGCAAGACTTTTTAATTTTTTGTTTTGCGGAATGCGCAGTGGTTTTCTAACGTTTTCTAGATGGTTTTGCTTTCTTAACTTCAGCTTGTACTACAAAACACACAGCTTATGCAGAAAACTGCATCAATGCAGCGATGTATGACGCATTGGTCCCGTGACGCTAAGTCTAAACAGTACTTATCACAATTCCCAACATAAGCGTAGATACGGGGTATACAGAAGTAGACAGTAGAGATGATCAAAGTTGCGATTTTGTGAGTTAAAACTGCGATTGCGATTTACCACTCACTGCGAGTGCAACCTGTGATTGCGATTTGAAATTGTGGGACTGTGTTATTTCATTATTTCCCTTCTATAAAAGGTTAATTACATTAAATTGGTCATATTTAACTGTTATGTGTTAACAACTGTTATCACAAAAAATGAAATAACATTGTATTTGTGTTATAAAGGTTAGGAGAATTTTTTTAAATCTTATAATTCCAAATTTGTAGATTTTATTAAAAATGGAAACAAATGTCTGTTATAATTATAATTTTAATTATAAGAATCCAAAAACTAAACCCAACAGGTAATATGTTAAAGTGCACACATTTCTTTTCAAGAACTTAACAAGGTTGGTTTATTTGACTTACTACCTATGGTTATATATATGATATTTTGGATGCACACATATTACATTTTGCGAAATTTTCGTAGATTTCGGAAAAAAAATCCACAAATAACTTAATTTCCTCTTTTTACACATTGTTGAAACTGAATAAAATAATACTGGCCAGTCAAAAAAAAACAACCTAGAGATTGAAAATAGAAACCACCAATACCAATCCCAACAATTCGCATTCGCAGCTCGCAACAGTCACAACTCACAACTATATAAAAGCAACGCCATCCGCTCGTTTTTAACCGCCAATCGCCACTCGACTGTGTCACTCCTGGTCACTCCCAAAGCGATTGCCGCGATTGTACGGTTGGTTCGTTGGTTGCATGCCTACCGGGTCGCGCGAACCCACCACTCCACCAGCTCGCAACTCGCAGTTTGCTACGGAACGGGCTCGCAGGTTGCGTTTGCGATTGTATAATCGCTGCGAGTAAATCGCAGTTCGCGAGTTTTTGCTCATCTCTAGTAGACAGTATCAGCTTAGCTCATTAGCCGACCAAAAAAATGGGTTCTGATAGAAATCAGAAATTGTAAGAATTGAAGCTACAGAATCGTAGCTACCATACGCCCGTCGAGCAAGTCGAAAAAGTCTCGTCTGTAACCACCTTAACATCGTAGCTCGAAACGTCGGTAAAGTCATTGTCAAAGTGTGCTTATGTTTTGGAATTGTGAGTTTTGATGTTTTCATTTCTTTTCTGTTAACAATCTTTAGAAGCAATTTTGATTTGCCGGATGTAATTACATAAATGGTGCTAATTTCACTGAAACGTGCATTGTGGCCAAAAGATTTGTGATTTGGACTGGAAGGGTATTAAAAAGTTCGTAAACCAGTATCATAAAACAAAAATGGAAAAAGAAAGGTAGGAAAATATACAATAATAATGCTCATGAATAATGCATAATGTTTATTATTTGTAATTGCAGATTTTCACTTTTATTGTTAGACCCTGGAGAGATCTATTTTGAAGATTTTAGCGCAATTTTTATACCTCCAGACACTACTCCAAAAACGTATGATACAAAGAAACAGGATGGTAGACTAAAAATGTGTTCTAAATCCTTAGTTTTTGATCCTAAAGATATAAACAAACCAATAATAAAAATTCCATTGAAAGACTGCATTATTATTGAACAATGGAAAGGATGCGCCAAATTTTTAAACAGCAATAATGTGCTTAGTATAAACTGTAAAGAACACATTAAACTGTTAGAGAGAAACATAATAGCCCCATATCAGTTTGAAGGTCCAGAGAACTTTTTGTTTTTACTGAATTATGCAAATATCACAAATTGTTTGCCACAGATTTGTCAGTTACACAGAGCAAGTACTTTACCTGCTGCAGAACAGGCGGATATGGTAAGTCTATATTTTTTCCTTAATACCATTCAACCAAATTTTTATCTTAAAATTACAAATTTATTTTTATTTTTCAAAATTCACAAGTGGGCAGCTACCACCAGATCTTGATTTTTCTTAATATATATGCAAATATCAAAACTATTACCACTGAACATATTCTCCAAGCTATACAGGAGACTCATTTATTTTGGTTTGATAAATTAAATTCCATATAAACGAGTCAAAATGAGTGGTCAAGCTGTAAAAATATTCTGATAAGTATTATTAATAAAATCACTATAGCTGCTTCTAGAATAATAGTGCAAGTTTTTCCCCCCTGCAAGAATGCCCAGAGTATGTTTGAAGCAGTTTCCTTCAAACATTTTTTAAATCTTCATCATCTTCAGTTCTTGAACAAAGTATATTATTGTATAGTTCATAGAAATTGTCACTTCAAATAAAGAACAAATATAAATACTTTAAAGGCACAAAATAAAAGATATATATTATATATATATCATATGTTAAAGTTCTACTCATAAAACTAGAGGAATCTTATAAGATTCCAGCCGTTAGCTTATATATTTTTGATAACCTTTATAAAGATGCAAGATAAAAAAGGTGAACAGATTTTATAATACAAGAACACACTTTGTATCCCATATTACAGATTTCCTGAAGGAGTTATAAACATTAACAAAATCTTGAACTAGAAAAAAATGTCCAAGGCCTAGGACATTGCTTATTTTTGGCAGTTTGCCATTTCACATTTTTTATTTAAAAGAAGTCCACAGTGTGGCTCTTATTTACTGGATTTTTGGATGTTATAATATTCACTGGCTATCTTTCTATGAGAATTAAATATATATTTTATATTCTTATTATCCATCATTTGATCTAGCTCAAAAACTAAAACTCAAATTTTCAATTAACATCAATACTATGTGACCATCAGAACTTGCAGTTGATGGGTAGATGCCAAGCAAAATCAACTTGTTTTTAGCTGTAAGGCTATGCATTGGATTCCTTAAGAATACCACAAGAAGTAGATAAGTTAATTCGATTAGTCTTTTAGATTATTAGTGTAAAGACATGCTTTAAAGAATTGGAACCCTGTTAGATCTCAATAAAGAGGTGTTTATTCTGTGTCATATATGTATTCTGTTTCCATATTAAATATGCATGAAATACAAATTTACATTTATAATATTCCAAATACAATGATTGACAATAGGTATATAAATACAGTTTGTTTTCTGCTGTTTACATCATAATTGCAAGAACTACTACTACATCAAAGTATTGTTTTTAAAGATGTTATGGAATGTGACATAATTATTGCTTTGGAAGATTTCATAGTTAGCCTATCATGAGTATCTACATTTATTTTTGTTTGTTATGTGGTATCATGTCAGCTAGATGTGTACGAGCCCCTTCCCACTTCAGGTGGCCCAACTATTGAAATCTTAGTTTTTTTTGTTATCAAACACAAATACTAAAAATGTAACAGGGTGGTATAGGTTTAAAATATTCACAATGAATATTTTGATAATATATAGTAGAAAACACCAACTTTATGACTCCCTAATCAAATTTGCAGCATAAAAATAACACATGTTGCAATTACAGCATATCAACCTATTTTCATTTCAATGCAAAATAAGTCTATAACGCATAGGTGGCTGTGAAAAATAAAAGCCATGACAATTGTTTTTATTAATCACAGCTGTCAGAATACGTTTAAAATAGTTTTGGGTAGTTAAGGTTTTCAAAATGGGTAGAGGAAAGGTTATTAGTGAGAAAATTCGGTTACTGATAATTAAATTTTTTAATTCTGGGAAATCAAACTCAGAAATTGCAACTTTGTTAGAATTATCTCAGTACAGTGTGAGAAATATTGTTAGAAGATATAACGTAACTGGTTCAGTTAATATTAAGCCACGATATGTGAAAAAAAGTAATATCACAAATGTCGACCGAAGAGCATTAAGAAGAATAATCGTGAAAAACAGGCGTGCCAATTATTTACAGTTAAGTGCTCTGTGGAGTGACGCTGTTGGAAGGAGAATTTCGAGGTCCACAACTCATAGAGAGACCCACAAACTGGGATTTAGCACTTGCAAGGTAAGTTTTCTTATAAAAAAAAGTGAAGTAAAAACCCTAAAGTTGCACAACTTGTTTATAGGCCAAAGAAAAGCCACTATTAACTCAACTGCAAAAGAAAAATCGGCTTAGATGGGCTAAAGAACATAGACAATGGACACCTCAACAATGGTGTGCAATACAATGGAGTGATGAGGCCCGATTTGAAGTTTGTGTTGGTGATAGTCGCAGTAGAGTTATTCGCAAAAAAATGAACCATTCCATGTTGACTGTCTGAAGGGAAAAGTGAAATTTCCAGCATCCATTATGGTCTGGGGCAGTATGTCATCAAAGGGAGTAGGAAAACTTCATTTTATTGATGGAAATGTGGATACAAACAAATATTTGGCAATTTTAGAAGAATCGCTTTTACCAGTGATGGAAGAATGTTTGACATCCGGCCAAGATTTTGTGTTTCAGCAAGATGGTTCAGCGTGCCATCCCTCAAAAAAGGCTATAAAATGGATGGAGGAAAATAATGTGCCGCTTTTGAAATGGGTTTCTAGCAGTCCAGATCTGTCACCTATTGAAACTTTGTGGCACGAGATGAAAAAGGTTCTACGACAACACCCTGCTCGTACAATCACCGAACTGATACAAAAGCTTCAAGAAATATGGGATTGTTTTACACCAAATTTTTGCCAAAACTTGGTTAACACTATGCCCCAAAGAATTTCAGCCGTAATAAAAAATAAAGGTGATGTTACCCAATGGTAATCTTTCAATTGTTGCTTTGTTAACTTCGCATATTTATTCGCACATTGTTTATTTGTTCAGATGTTCCATTAGTTATAGGTGTAAGTGATTTCAAATATGTATTTTTTACGACTAGAGTGTAACTAAAATGTTTTTGAGAAAATAAATTGTTTTAGAAGTAAATAGTTTCGTCATGTTTAGTTTATAAAGGCATATTTTGGTACAAATCTTGAAGTGGGCCAACTGAAGTGGGAAGGGGCTTGTAGTTACTAGTTATGTTTTTACTTTTTAGTTTGTTGATCTCTTTTCTTTTTTACCTATATTATGTGTAATGTGATATTCTGGTGAAACCAACAAAAGTATTTTGATATGCGGCAATATGATTAATTATTTGGTTAATTATGAAAACTGACAAGGTGAAATTTTAGTATCAAGTAAAGTTCAACTGAAAGGTTTCAAAAAAAATTATTCTAAAAGACTTTGTAAACTAAAACAATATAGTTTATCTACTTGACTACTATCGATGCCTGCCTTTACAAAAAAAAAGTTTTATGACGATATCGTATCAGCAATTTTTTTAAAAAAGTTCAGAAGTGAATGCTTCCTTAACTTGCCGAAGCTTGGGACATTTACCTCATCTTGAGTAATTGGATTTCAATTAATTATCATGAACTTATTTGTTAAAATGGTTTAAATTTATTCCAAATCAGATAGCTACTATTGTCCACTCAAGACAAGCTAGGGACAATTTTGACCCTAGGTGGATGGATTTGTATGAAAAAATCATAATGGAAACCCAAGCAGACAAGGTGACGCCTCTTGTGGTGAACCCTGGCAGAGTGGTTTTGACAACTTCAAAACTTTATTTTCAACCCTACAACAAAATGGGAGAGGTAAGTCTAGAATAAATGAAATAAATCAATGAAAACCATACAAACCAATGGAAATAACTAGTATAAAAAAATATTAGAACCATAAAAAATATTTTTCTCAAAATTACACTGCATTTGTAAAAGATTGTCATGCTATTAAGTTTATTAAAACAGGATTTTGACGAACCCTCAGTATATAAAAGAATTGGTAGTTCTTTCAATCAATTGAATCAAATTCAAGCAAATAACCAAATGAAAATGGTATTTAGCATTTTGGATTGGTATTTACCGATCCGTTCAAGCGAGTGTGGTTATCAGTTTTGTTATAAGATCCGTGACATCATGAATCAGCTGTTATATGTCATAGTTATCACCGCAAAATTGTGGTATTTACCCAACTCAGGAGTAGTTTTATATTTCTGGTTATTATTTGAAATGTGATAACTTAGAGTTTTGCCGGGCATTGGATATTTTTGTTGTACTTCATCTTCATTTTTGGGAAACTTGATACAGGCTGTTGTAGCACGCAGGTAGAACACCTTATTAGTTATACTCATTACTTTTGTTGGGGACACTTTAAATCTAGTTCCTATGCTTAACAAAGTATCCTCTGTAGCCATATACCACAAGAATATTAAAATATGGCCTTATAAACTCACTGGATAATGTCCACCTGTATACCGTTTTGCTAATATCTTTTTTCATCGCTTTTTTCTATCATTTATGATAAATCAATAAATGTTCTCTTTGACATGTGGAAAAGCTTAGAGACTTGAAAGTTATCATAGCTACAAAGCCATGGTTCCATCATAATATTTTTTTTCTGAAAAAAAACATTTCTCCCATTAATATTATGAAAGGTTTCTTTTTTAAACTTTCCTTACACTGTTGTAGATGAAAAAGCACCGATTATTAAGTGATTGGTTATTCGCTTGGATTTGATTTTAGTACCCTATGCATGTAGCATTCAGTTTTATTCTAATTAAATAAAAGTTCACACTTTTTTCACTTTTTTTTTCTGCTGATATCAGAGTAAAACCCGAATTATGATCATGCTATAAATTGTAACATATACAGATTTTGCTATCATTTCACAATAATATTCATCAGTGAAATCATGTTTCCTGCACACATCATATTTACATACATGAAAGGTAGGCCTATTGTAACGTGTAGTAATGTTATGATAAGGATTTATATTCTAATGAATCATTTGCAATTCTTGGAAACCGCAAGGTCATACATCTATATTTATATATAAAAGATATGTGTTTCACAATATATCAATTACACAAAATTCACAATTAATACTTGTTTATAAAAGTTGCAAATATTCTTCAGTAGAATGGTTTTCTGCTACTATACTCCATACCTAAACATGTAGCCCAATAGGGATCGACCAATACCGATACTTTCAGTCTTAAGTTTTTGGCAAAAGGTTAAAAACAGTCGAATTAATACCAAACTGAAGATAAAACATTTAAAATTTTTATTTAGACAGATTATGTTGAAAAAATAATGAAGCTTTTGCCGTGTCAGGAGTTAACCTGCATCGTTTGGCATTGTAAATATGGCCCACCTTAGAAAAAACATGTTCACTGGGCATGCTTGGCAGGCACATATATCTGATGTTAGTGATATTTTTCCGACCATTTCGTTGGAATATATTAGAAATTTCGCACAGAAATACTGATCGGATAGAAATGAACTGATTCTGGGTCTTATTTTTTAGTATCCAGTGAAAATAGACTTAAAAGGCATAAAAAGAATAATCAAAAGAAGGTTTCTACTCAGGCATATTGTAAGTACACTGTCAATTACCAGTTACTCTGGATCTCACAGAGACTATATTGCAGGGCTTAGAAATTTATTCCAATGAAAATTCCACAAATCCTCATATATATTTTTCATTCCGAAGTCAGTCGCAAAGAGATAGTCTGTATGAAAGTATGTTGCAACAACCTGAGCTGAAACTTGAAGATATTAGACAGGATGTTATCACATTGCAATGGCAGAATGGTGTCATTTCAAATTATGAATATCTATTATACATAAACAGGTACATAAAAATCATGGTTATCTAGATAGATATAATGGTATTAAAGAGCTGTGTAGTGATTATAAAAAGTTTTTTCTAAATCTGTAAGTAATAGCATAATTTCTATATCTATCATGAGATATGGTTTATGATAGGGTACTCGGTTGTGCTGCGTATTAAATTACCCTGCTGGGTGATTGCTCGGTATGAACGCAAAACACATCATGTGTGGATCAAAGAATTAAGAATACTAAAAAACAACAAGAACGATAAAACAGACAAACGGAGCTAAAGTAAAAAACGACATAATGAGATATCCGCGTTAATAGAAAGAAAACCTTTACCCATACGTCAATACATAATATAATATAATTTAGGGTTTAATTTGAATTGGTTCCGCTACGACATGCTGCGGTTTTAATTTGTTTCTTCTGTAACATTCTCCCAAAGGCACTCCAGAGATAATAAGATTCAAATTCGGTATTCACTGAAAACACCTTCATGTCATGTTAATATTGTCTTAATGTCTTCCAGTACGAAAGATTGAAGATTGTATAACAAATGTAATGCCAAAGCATGTCTTACTTATCTTAAATTTTGTGAAAAACGTATACCAAGCGGTTGCAAAACTCCTAATATTTGAATAATAAAACTTCTGAAAATACCGTAAATAAATTCGAAATTCAAAAGTTCAGATCAATACAGTTTTGTAGCAGGAAAATCTTCCACAGATGGTATACTAAGTCTAGTGAAGCAAATCACCCAAAACCTTGATGAGAACATTCCATCTATTTGTGTATATGTTGATCTAAAAAAGGCATTCGATACAGTTAAAAAATATGTTCTTCACTGCAAATGTATTTATAAAAAGTCCGCAAGTGATGAAACTATCAAACTCATACAGTAACGAAATGTTTGTCAAATGTGGTGTACCTCAGGGTAGCCCTATGTAAGTTAATTTCTTTATCTATTTAATACATACTTGAATGATATATTAAAAATTAACTATAGGTAAAATGTTCAGTTTTGCTACTGGTACGGAAATACTACATAGAGGGTATGATGTAAAGAGAACAATCGAGAATGGCTTTGTAAAATCATTCATTTTCACTAGAAAATCAACCGTGAACTTTGGAAAAACACATTTTCACATCCAACGAGAGACATCTACCTGATTATTCAAACCTTTCTTTAAAATAAATAATACAAATTAAAAAAATGATTAAGTGGACATTATCAAATATTTAGGAATTGAGACCAACATTTGAGGTGAGACATTCATGCAGCCTACATTTTAAAGAAATTAAGATTTGTTACATACAAAATTAAATTCCTTATAGACAAATTGACAGTTAATTATATGCGCACTATATATCATGCCTTACTTGAGCCGCACCTAATGTATAGCATATTAGCGTGTAGTACACGTATTTAAACGATATCGGAGTTTTTCGTAGAACTGTTTTGAAAACTATGTTCGGAAAATCAAAATTATATATTCAATGAAACAAAATCCTCTGATATCAAGCAACTATTTCGAAATACTCATAATTGTAAAAACAAAACATCAACATGGATATATTCAATAGGAAGACAACATATTACTGAACTCATATCAAATATCCATTAAAACTCATCGTCTTCTACATATACGAGTATATACGTATATTTTTCTTTAAGTTTCTTCTGACTTTTTTGTTTTGTTTTTGGAAAGTCTTGTTTCAGCATACAACTGTACCGGCATTTTGGATTAAAACATTTATTTGCACATTCTATATTGTTATTGTTATATTATGGAGTAAATAAATATCTACTACTACTACGCAGCGTTTCACTCACAGAAAAATCGCTCAATTCGAACAACTGATTTTTTATGGTGCATTAATTTCTTGGAAAAGTAAATCAATTTTGAAAATAACACATGAATATAAGCTTAATATTACTGATGGTAATTGAATCAACTCAGTGTGAGATGCATCACCGAGTACCCGGCCAACTATCGACCGACTCGACTCTAGCTTCTGGTACAAAATTTCAGCATTGGAGATAGGACTATAAATGACCTTACACAATATCCTGTATTTCCATGGATAGTATCCAACTATACATCTTCAGATCTTGACCTCACTGACCCTGGAAATTTTAGAGATCTCTCGAAACCTATTGGTGCACTCAATGAAGTTCGTTTGGAAAGATTGCTGGATAGGTAATTTCTTGGATATTCATATTAAATTTACCATTCACAATTACCCCCTCACGTCTTTGATAGAAATAGGGCACCTCAAATATGGTGTATCACATAATTGCATTTGGAGTGACCATTAGCATTGGTATCACACGATAAACTACAACGATTTTATTTCCTCAGTAAGGCTTTTGTTCATGTTACGTACCCTCTCTTTTGATACGTTCTAGTTCATCAGTAAGCTTAATCTGAATCTGATTTTTTTGGTCAAACCTTGTAAACTTGTTTCCAGGTACAATGAAATGTCCCATCCGAAATTCATGTATGGTTCCCACTACTCGACGCCAGGGTTCGTACTGTATTACCTGGCAAGGTTGTATCCCCACTACGTACTATGTCTACAAAGTGGAAGGTTCGATCATCCTGACAGAATGTTCAACTCGGTAGCCGACGCGTTCAAGAACTGTTTGAACAACATGTCTGATTTCAAAGAGTTGATTCCCGAGTTCTATGACGTTTCGGCCGAAGGAAAGTTTTTGATGAATAATATGGGAATCAACTTTGGGTACAGACATAATTACGTGAAGGTAAACTTACTAGAACAACGGAATGGATATTTGCAACCCAACACGAGCAAAAGAGCATTCATCATTGCCATTCAATCCTGTGATGCTTTCTTGTCTTAAACAAAGCTCACTTGGCTATATTTCTGAACCTTGATACGAGTACCTTATTTCATCTTTTGGAAAGAAAATAATAAATTGTTTCTTTTTTCGTTGTATTGAAGAAGTGTGCAGCGGAGTTTTGTCCAGTTCTTTCGCGTCTCTTCCAGAAATCCTACGAATCCGGCACCTTCCCTGAAAATTTGCTCATGTTAACGCATCCCAAGAAAAAGATCTAATACCGACCCTTACAACTACAGCACTATAGCTCTGATTTACCTCGAATGTCACAGCTTGATTAGCGTGTCAGTATGGTTGCCGGCACCAGAGGTCTACAGCGGATCTCTTAGCTTACGTCACGCAATTGTGAAAGTAAACTCATCTAGTCTTATGATGAGGCTCATGTCGTTGCTTTTGATATCACGAAAGCGTTCGATCATCTGTGGTACGCTGCCGTCTTATGCAAGCTTACATCCTATGGCCTCCCAGAGAAGCTTTGCAGATGGCATCAACGCGGGTGTTCCCCAGGGATCGGTCTTGGCTCTGACACTGATCCTCTTACATATCAACGACCTCCTTTCATGTACGATCAACCCAATCCACAGCTTGGCTGATGACAGCACTCTGCATGCATGCGTGAACACATTTCGTCAATAGCGGCAGCTAGGCTGTTTGTTTAAGTCTAAGAAGTACTTTTCCGCATTCTATACAAGTTCCAGATAAGACCTGGCCTTGAGTATTGCTCACACATTTGGGTACTGCTGCCCCGACTACATTGTTTATGCTCGATGCTGTCCAGGCAGCAGCGGTGTGAGGGAGCAGCGGTGGCTGAGGCAGCAGCGGTGGCCGCAGTAGTAGACTGTTCGGTCTCCTGATCAGTCGCCGTGCGCTGTGCGGGTTCGAGTCCCGTCCCAGGAGAAATTTTTCTCTTGGCTATGGATGTTGTTATTGTCCGTAGGTGGTAGACGGTCTCTGGCTGTCGAACGTGGAGGTACCACCCGGCAGATCTCGTAGGCGGAGCCAGAATGTGTGAATGTTGCATGCACACGTGTTCCCTCGCCAGAGTCCATGATGCCGGGATCTTCATAGCAGCCGCGGTGTCCTGGCATTTAGGCTGCTTTGGTGTAAAAAAACGACCGCTGTAAAATCATGTCATTTCAGATTGGATTTTTGTATAATAATAAAATGGATTTTTCATCATAATTATCAACAAAATACTGCTATTCTGCAGTTTCATCCCACAAATATATTGCACAGCAAAAAATCCACAAGAAAGGGTAGCGGACTAACCTAATGCCATATCGGCATTTAATCATTTCCACTACTCGCTTGAACTTATGCTGTGATGATTTCTTTTTCCAGCAGTAAATAGTGCTCATGTATGGGCTGCAAATATACTAAATATCTCATTTAAGTCTGCGGAAACCAATATCATCAATGAATTCAATATTGTAGGTTGGAGATGTAGAATTACCTCCCTGGGCGAGCAGCCCTAAGGAGTTTGTAGAGAAATTGAGGGAAGCTTTAGAAAGTGAATATGTATCAAGGAATTTGCACCATTGGATTGATTTCATATTTGGATACAAACAAAAGGGGGAAGAAGCTATCAAAGCACATAATTGTAAGAATTTAAACTTAACTTATTTTGCCCTCTCACATACGGATATCGAGTGGAGTACCAGTTAACGCATATGTCTGTGCCAGACACGAAAAGAAAAACTACATGTTAATGTAACTCCTGAAACTTGTCCTGTAGTTTTCATGTTCATATGACTCCATTGTCTGGCCGAACCAAAACCACATATATATCTAGATTTCAGTCAGTCAAGTACAATTGTCATCTATGACAATATATTTTATTTTCTGTCTTCCAGGCGACATTTGTTTCTTTTTTATTTTTCACTTTCCATTACAGTATGTTACTACAATAGTCTGGACCGTCCTGTAACAGGCTGAGGTTGCAAGAGCAAACTGTTGACTTATATTATTTCCTCACCAGACAAGCAACATGGTTCCCTTTAGATTCTCGCATTTCAGATCCATAAACAATGCACATGCAGCATTTGTAGTCGGATATTACGTATCTTGAAAAGTGACATTTTATCGTTTCTTTACATGTTTTTTTGTGGCATAACGTAGGTTTTTCGTAAGTTTTTTACACAGTACGCCTGCCGGTGTGTTTCGACTTGCCTGGTACATTAAAAAACTACAAACTCATGCCCGCTTGTCGCTTTAGAAGCTTGAATGCTCGGTAGTCGTGGGCTTTGCTGTTGTTGTGCGGAGCGATCTTAATGATGGCTTCCCACAATCTCAGCATGTTACAGGGCTGTTCAGGCTGTAGCAGTAACACACTGTATAGAAATGTTGAAAAGGAAAAAAATAAATATTAAATAATAATAATAAAAATAATATTAGTCTGAGTACACTGGAAGCTGGAATTCAACATGTAAAACATAAACTGACTTATGTTAATGGACTATTTTTGCATGCTGACACCCAACATTAATTTTAGTGTTTTATTATCTCTGTTATGAAGGAGCGATAGATCTTGATTCCATATCAGATCTGAATCAGAGACATGCATTAGAGGTGCAAATCATGGAGTTTGGACAAATTCCTAAACAGCTATTTACCGTGCCTCATCCTCAAAGAAAGATTATTGGGCCTACTACTTTGGTAGAACCGTATCAGGTGGAAGAAAATGAAACTGAATCTCGGGGTAAGTTGGACCAATTTAAAACCAGCTGGCAATTGGTATCACATAACGCCCGGTTTTTCAATTTTCAAAGAACGTTTTTAATATCATGTTTGTCCTAAAACGATGATTGATAGTTACACGAGTTTTCGCATATCACACATAACACGATGCTTCAAGTCATAGAAGCAGCGTTGCTGCATCAACAATAAATATGGCTCAGAAAAACAAAACTGAAAAGATGAGTCTACTTTCAACTGGTAGCATTGATTAACATATTCCATGGAAAGATAGCCAATCCATTGGGGATAATTTCAAAAGCTAGAAGTAGATGGCGCTAGTTAGAAGCGGTGATGTGTAAGTTTAAAAGGTTATGAACAAAGATCAGAATTGCTGATCAGCTGTTCACGGCAATAGTTCATGATCACGTGACATGACGTACCTTAGATGTGGGTGGAACATAACCTCATATTCCGTATATTTCGGTGGTGTTTCGTATTTTAATTTATTTTGTGTTTGACGCTTTTACTTCCTACGCCATTGCGAGGAAGTTTTGTCATCACGGAAAATTTTGAAAATTTGATATGTTTTTTGAATGTTATTCGACATGTGCATCACGAAAAACTATAATATATAACTATTTCCGTCTGTCGCTCTGTCTTTCTGTTTGTCCGCTAATCCTTGGCTTGTCTATAACTTGGGAAATACCGCCCGGATTTGGATGACGTTTCCTCGTAAGGTTGCCGCTATGCCAAGGACGACCTGGCCTACCAATGGTGATCGTCAGTTTTTTCACCTACCTCTGCACAGTATTTTGAGTTTTTCGAGCGACCATACCCACTTGTTTGCTTTCCTTTCATCTGTCTCGAGGATTACTATACCTATACCGCACTGATGAGTTACCAATGAGCTCGAAACAGCGCTGGCTGCAATTGGTCGCAGTTACAAAGACGGAAAGCAGACATGTCCAGTTCAATCGTGTCTATGGATATATGCATAGCAAGCCATCGTTAGTCCGCTGAATTGAATTTGTGAATCACTTGGCAATGAAATACTGTACACAGTAATGGAATGTAGATTGACAGATGAAATTTTACTCTGAATTACTGTGAAACTTTATTTTTAGAACGACTAACTTATTACAGACTCATGTAATGTTATTTGCTGACAGCAGACTAGTTTCTAACCACGTTTTCTGCGAACATTGTAGTTATTATAAGAGACCTTAGGGATACGAGGTAGCATTTATCATGAAAATTATATATTCTGCCTATTCTGCCAATTTTGAGCAGTTTTTGATAACCAAATAAAATAAACAAACAATGAATCATGAGAATGACAAGTGACAACTTTTATTCCCAAGGTTTTGAGCTCGGGAAGAAAATCACACTTTTGACGTTCCAGAAGGATTAATTTGTTCTATTTCCGAAATCATTTAACAGGTATGTGAAACAATTACGGACGCTAAAATTGTTACAAAGTAGTACAAAGTACACTCTGTAACAGTTTACGAATGCAGCGCTGTGTTAATACCTGGTATTCCTGGTGCTAGATGGCTCGACCGTGTTTAGGTGTCACCACTGCCAAATCTAGGACTATTGCCGCAGGCTATGGGATTTCTTTTTTCGTCGTTATTAAAATATGAAATCTGAGAAATAATTACAAGGTTGAGGTGTGATCTTTCCTTGAAAGGTTGACGACATGTTTACGAATGAACAGTTTTGTTTATGAGGAGTATGGAGTCTGTAACATGGCAATCGTATGCGAATGTCCAAATACAGCATAGGGTAGGGCATCTTTTTGAATAATATCTTAATCAATGTTAACTGCTTCCAGGTTAGAGTTACCTTTGAGTTTTAACTTTGTATAACTTTCAACGGTTTCCATTAGTATTGTATAGTATTTTTCACGATGCTTTGTTACGTTTTGAACAGCTGACCAGCAAGTGCATAGCCACATATAGCTAATAAGCCACGAAGTATGAAAGCTGGCAATGTTGTGGTAGTCCTAGGCCGAACCACCCTTATTGTATTTTGTTGTAATTTACTTGTTTTAATCAGTATGAGGTGTTGGTTGCGTTCCGTATCATCGTTTTCGAGAAACAAGTTTTATCACACGAAATGAAGTTCGAAAAGTGAAGTATATACAGGGTCCAATAAGTAAAACGACAAACTTAAGGAGAAGGTAGGCTTTGGACTGACCACCGGAATAACAAAAACTTACCTATATAAAAGTGTTACCGTTTTTGAGATATTGAATTTTTTCTTAAATTTAAAAAAACAAACATTGTCATCTGTTGTCTTTAGCTGCATGTACAAATAAGGTTATGCTTTATTCATTTTTTCTATAAAATACTTCTAGATAGTTGCTGCATCATATATAAATGCAATGTAGTTAAAAGATATTAAGGAACCATGATCAAATAGGGACTATTTTGGGATTTATAACTTTCTGATATTTTTTTCTCAACTTTGACCATCTGTGGTGAAACAAAAATGTACTGGGCTATAACTGCAGTATATTGAATAAAAAGATAGCTCATTGAATACAGATTTCAGAGAGGCACCACACGTACTATTTGGAATAGAAAAAAGTGATAGCTACTTTTGCAAGTGACTAACACACACAATGTAATTCTTGGATTTAAATTCAAGTTGCACTGGTAACCGATCAGTGATATGCTAAATAGTACAAAGCTACATTATTATTACCTGCTGCTGATATGATTTTATGAAAGTTGAGGAAACAATATCAGAAGGTTATAAATTTCAAAACTGTCCTTATTTTATCATGGTTCCTTAATATCTTTTAACTACATTGCATTTGTATATGATAAAGCTACTATCTAGAAGTATTTTATAGAAAAAAATGAACAAAGTATAACCTTATTTGTACATGCAGCTAAAGAACACAGATAAAAAGGTTCGTTTTCTAAAATTTAAGAAAAAATTCAATATCTCAAAAACGGTGACACTTTTATATAGGTAAGTTTTTGTTATTTCCAAAGCCTAAATTCTTCTTAAGTTTGTCGGGGTATTTATTGCACACACGGTAAAAGGCTACAAAGGACTATACTAAACTCCACATAATACATATTATGTGGAGATTCCAAGATGCTACTTCCTGGATGAACATTCATTATGCGTAATTTTTTCCAACCACCCCATACTCATGATATATATTTTGCAATTTGGAAGCCCATGGTATAATGAATAGTATCATACATAATTTAATTGCTGAGAAAACCAAAACAATACTGCCATTTGTAATAGATCAGTTACTGCTATTTGTATAAAAGAAAATATATTATCTAGAAACAATTATGTTTCCATTGACAATTCATGATCAATCGTTATTTATGGATTTATGAATTTACCATTTCAATGACACCTTCAAATATTTACATCATCACTTCATGATGCTGAGTTTTGATCTATGTTCATTGGATGTTGTAGTCCGGCCAGAAATATTACTTTTTAGATATGACTCACATTTTAGAAGAATGTTTTGTTGAAATTGTTTTCAATAATCTAGTGCTAGTTATTTTCAAGGCTCAAGTGGTAGAATAGCTTGTAGCTAAACTTCGCACGAAATAAAAGTCATTTATTATTATTATTATTATAATTATTATATTATTATTGTACAAGATAGTACTACATATTTTTTTCAAAAACAAAAATTATACTTTAAAACAGTGAACCATTGTAGGTTCCACTGTTGTTCATACACTATTTTAAACAGTACTTACTACTTTTCCTTCATTTTGGAATTTCGACAACCCGTTTATGACCATTTTTACCTGGCCGGCGACCCTCAATTTGACGATAGGACTACTTTGCGCACGTTTGGTGACTTGTCTCATTCTCTTTTTTACTTCATGGCTTGTAACTGTAGGTGGTTGTGGCAAGTGACATCTTGGTGTTAAAGGCTGTACTGTTGGAAATTATAAATCGAGCGAAACTCAAGACCGTATTTAGAAAGTAGGTCAAAAAGTATTTATTTTGTTTTATTCTTATACGACTTAAGATATAGTCATGATTAATATTGCTTGTAGCGTTTTTTTTTCTGTACGTCGGAAAATTTCTAAATAAAAGCGTTGCTAGACGGCAGCATCAGTGCTTGAGCGAATGCGGGAAGGCTGTCATGACCCACCTTCTCGGATCCGCCCTTGCTCGAGCCACCCTTTTGTCCCTATGGTAAATACACTCCTGGTCACTTAATTTAACATTTAATTGCAGACAGATGGAAACGTTTAAAAGACTTCAAAATGCACACAAGTTTTAATACCCACAAAAATTCCGTCAGCTATCTTTTTATCAGCGATGATGGTGAAAGAATTACTTCAGTTGGCCACGATTCGAAGTTGAAAGTGTTCTCATTGGTGCAAAATAAGCAAATCAGGAGTGCCAACATCGGAAATTTGCCTTTAAGCAGCTGCTTGCAGCTGCCTAATGTCAACGTGATAGTTGTGGCGAGTTGGGATAATGAAATGTAAGTAACTATAAGCAGTTATGTGTATATAGAATTTTAACCCTGAGAATTTGTCTGCCAAAACTACCCTCCTCCTGTCTATATAATTTTAAGTATTTCTAATCCTAACTGAAAATGGTAAACAGTATTGATGGATTAATATACCAGATACTGTCCTAACATTACATTGCGTCGAGTATTTCAAATTTCGATGTTGAGCCCGTTATTCAAAGACCGTATTAGATAAATGGAGTTTTGGGGGCCATTCGTAACAAAGGAAGCTGGAGGACATCTGAAACCACTTTTTGACGATAATTGCTTTTGAATACTAGAATATTAAACCCTATCAGTATGAAATGTGACGCTTATGGCAGTTCTCTTGCATGTCAACTTGGATGTTTATCCTGTTTCAATTAGGAATTGAAATATACAGGGTGTTTCAAGTTCTACTCTCACCATTGGGATCTTTGAAACTGTATTTAGGTAATCGACAAAATGCCTCTTAGAAAGTTCAAAGTACCGGAAAGAGATGGAAAAAACCGATTTTTCAAAAATCATTTCCTGAATTTATTTGTAGTGGGATTTCAGATTCAATTGCATATTAACATTGCCACTTTTGTTCTTCTATAAGAAGCATTATTAGAATGTCAATATGACGTTCGTCTCTTATCATCCAGCATCATTTGAAAAAAAAAAACAAAATTTTCTAGGTAGGCATTGAAATTATCAGATTGTCATTTGTTTCGCATACCAGATTTATCCCAAAATTATATTTTTTCCTGAACTTATTTGAGATGGGATTTCAAAATAAATTGCATGTTTCTTTGTCACTTATTCTCCTTTAGAAGATGGTGTAGTCAAATTTTCAATTCAACATACTTTCTTTAGACTCCCATCACCAACTTTCGTTTTTCCATCTTTTTTTTTTATATTCCAACTACCACGAAGGCCTAAGGCCTAAACACCCATTGGGTACCGTGGGGCTATAGGGGGATACAGGGGAAAGGGGAAACGCCACACGGACTCTGGCGAGGGAACACGTGTGCATGCAACATGCACACATTCTGGCTCCGCCTACGAGATCCGCCGGGTGGTACCTCCACGTTCGACAGTCAGACACCATCTATCACCTACGGACAATCACAACATCCATAGCCAAGAGAAAAATTTCCCCTGGAACGGGACTCGAACCCGCACAGCGCACGGCGACTGATCAGGAGACCGAAGAGTCTACTACTGCGGCCACCGCTGCTGCCTGGACGCTATATTGGAATTTTGTTCATTTAGGGTCGTAACGCCATGCCTACAATTATAGGACGCCTTTGAGGACTCCTTTATTTTCATAATTTTCTACTGTTCCGTGTCAGCACCCTATTTTGAGGTTATATTACAAATATCTATTTGCATCAAATTGTTCATGCTTTTGATTTATAACATCTAATATATCAATCTGAAATTTCCTACAATTCAAAAAGAAAACATAGCCTCACACGCATCAGTAGAAATCTAGCAACACCAGTCTTTCTGAAAGAGAGAAAAGACTATGAAAATCAAGGAGGCCATAAAGGCGTCCTACAATTGTAGGAACGACTGACGATACTTCCTAAATTTAGTGATGTACATATGTCCTTAGTTGGCCATTAAAAGTAATAAGGAAATGAAAAGGTATGGTGAAACCTGAACACAAAATGAAAATTTTATTGATAACAAGGTAAATCAAAGCAGATGTTCAAATTGTTGTCCATTATTTTGTAGGCAAAGCCTAACTCCTCTGTGCATTGCTCACTGCTCGAATTATTTCTCTTCTTCTCAGTCTTCTGAACTCTGTTATAATGTTCAATCGGAGGTGTGGTCTAAAGGGGTATTGTGTAAAAAACCTAAAAAACGGAAAAAAACCGAAGAAATGTCATCCTGTCAGTAGTTTTTAGTGTGCAGATAGTTCATTCCACGTCTGTTCGCTATAATCGATGTTCGCTGACGTTTAAGCAACACGCACAAAAACAAACAAAACGAGTTCACAACAAGTTTACAACAGTTTGTGCTAAGTTAACATCTTGTAGAAAAACCTACGATATGTCACGCAAAACCTGCGAAATGTCACTTTTCAAGATAGGTAATACACGTAAAGGTATACAAAACAAATGACATCTGATAATTTCAAGGCCTACCTAGAAACTTCTTTTTTTGAATAACTAAGGAGATTCTGATATTCTTAAAATAACTAAGGTTTGGCAACGTCACTGTAGAATCAGAGTTAAAAACTCTATCTTTGCAAAATACAATATGGCGTCTATAAGAAAAAGTAAAGTTGATGATGAAATATCATATTGAAATTCTAATTACCCGATCTTGTAGAGGAGAGAAAGTGTCAATGTTAATGTGCAATTTATGTTGAAATCTCACTACAAATAAAGTCAGGAAAAAATTGTACCGATTTTTCGAAAATTTGGTTTTTCCGTCTTTCTCCAGAAGTTCTTTGAATTTCGAAACTTTCTAATCGGCATTTTGTTGATTATGTAAATACGCAATTTTGCCCCCATTTAAGCGACTTTTTATCTCTTACAGTTTCCGAGATTCCAATGGTGAGGGTCGAATTTGAAACGCCCTGTATATAAAAGTTCATCAAATACAAATATTCTAAAAACGATTTTATAGATATTGCTTTTTATTCCAGTTCTTTATATGACATGGACTATGGACGAGTCAAAGAAAGTGTGCTAGCTCACGAAGACGCCATTACGTGTCTGTGTTTTTCTGAAAAAACAAATGTCTTGGTATCTGGCAGTGCTGACTGTAGCGTCAAAGTATGGAAGGGATTCAATAGCAATGGCGTAATAAAACCTATACAGTGCCTGCAGAAGCAAATTGACCACAACTCTCAAGTCAATTGTCTCAGCTACAACCAGTAAGAAACTTTGAGTTAAAATAAAATTAGGTATACTTGTCTGATAGATAGCATCGTGAGTGCAGGCGTAGGTACCAAATATTCGACAACGAAGTTTCTACCGGATGTTTACTTGTATACTTGTTCCAGAACACTGAAACAAACTAGATCTAGAAACCTTACAGACGATAACCCAAAAATAAAAAGATCTTACAAAGAAATATCATAATCTGGCCATGAGGGATTAAATATCTATGTGATAACTTACAGGTTTTGAGAATAACCTGTTTAGGTGACCCGGAGAGTATTCGCGACAAGTTTATAACTTTATTGAATAAAAAATATATTTCGTAGGCCGCAAACGGATGTTAAATATACTCACCATGAATAAATGTCCAAACGAAAGTAAAATTGTGATGGGAAACAAATTCATTAAACGCCATCAGCAGCTTTGTGGACGCCATGTTTTGGGTTACTTCTCATCGCTTCTCTTTGATATAATGTTTTTGTATACAATTGCTTCATTGAAACAATTTATTGAAAGGTGAAAATCACAAGTCTGCATCTGACCAACCTTACGAGAAGACGAATATTTACTGTGAGAATTAGTCCTTACGTGCAGCTCTCTATTTTGAGAGTTTTATGCTTGTGTAGGTATTTCATGTCTGGGTCTTTACTTAAGGCACGGATATTTACTCCCAATTATACACCGCAATAGTTTTTACGACTAAAACATTCACTTTTCTTATACAATTGACTATTTTTGTTATATTTATTATAATTAGTAATCTTGGATAAAAAGAGTATACAATTTTTTCAGAGATAACAATCATCTAGCAGTGGGCACCCAAGATGGCGAAATTTACATTTGGGCAATGACAGATTTCACACTGTTCAAAAAACTAACACTTCACGCCTCTAGCGTCGATGCAATAAGTTACAGTCCTGACGGATTGAAGTTGGCAATTGGATTCAACAATAAAGCCTTCCAAATAATTGACGTGAATAGCGGCATGCCCGTCTTTAACACAAGACTGGACTCTAGGATAACCTCCATGGAATGGAGCGATTTTCTGCTGATTCTTGGTTGTGAAGATGGTACCCTGTCTGCTTGGGATATATTTGAAGTTAGGCAGCTTTTGGAGATCCAAGCACATGAAGGTACATTTCGCTAGTAGAATAGTCGCTGGGTTTGCGATGATAGCGCCACTTGCAGATATTAGACTGAAATATTAGTGCTTGTGGATATTAAAGAAAAATAACAGACATTTAGTTGATTTGGTGTTAGGAACAATTTGAATTTCTAACTGACAATTTTCTTTTGATCTGACAGTTGATCCCACGTCACAGATTTTGCCATACGGATCACGACTATATTTCACTATAATTCGGATGATGTTTCCCTTTTTGTCCAACACGTGCGCTGAGATCGATTCAGTTGCCCCCAGTAAGCACCTCGCTCTCGGCGAATGCCTAGCACATTTGTTAGTTATTTTTTAAATATTTTTTTCGGGTGGAAAAGTTCGAGTTTCAGAGTTTTCCTAGCAACACTGTAAAACCTGTATTTGCGGGAGTTGATTAATTCGATCAGTCGCTATGAAGCCTTCATTTAATCTTACCTGTCTCGTACCCCAACCCACCTCCCTTCCACGGTGATTGTCAATATGTTATTCTTGTTTTAATGCCAAAAATTACACAGGCCGACAAAACTGAGCCGACTCTCTTATCCAGAAACTAGGGTACTTTTCCGATGGTTTCTAATGCGCTGAATCAGAATCCGCGGTCAAAATATCTAAACTCTCCAGTTTCAGAAATAACCTAAAAGTGCACAAATAGCAGGGAAAAGTATTAAAACACTTATCGTAACAGGTCGAGTCCGTAATTCGTTCTAACTAGTTTTTGATCGTTCTGGAACGGCTTGGTTACAGTTATAGTTCAGGACAAACTTATAGTATCTGCTAACTTGTGGAGGTGCGGGGCGCGGGAAGGAGGTGAAAGCGAGCGGCTTCGAGTCGATTAAGTTATAGTCAAACAATGCGAATTATTTTAGAGACGCTACATTTAGAGTAATTATATGGAACTACAAAGCATTACTACTTAATTATTGCACGTTTCTCAAATATATAATATCCGATTCTTTTGATTGCAGGTGCGATCAAAACAGTTGACATATCACCTCAGAAGGATTTTATAGCAACAGGTAGTCAAGATCGTGTGATAAAGGTTTGGAAACCAGTCATGCAGTCATGATTTTTTATACTTTATTGTTTCGTAAGATTTTATATTTTACCAAAAACGAGTTGAGCAAGTATGTTGTGATATTTTTATTAACAAATGCGTTTTCTTTTTAATATATGGAGTTTTATTATAAATAACAATTACACCGTAAACCCCGTTATTGCGATGGAAACATTTTCAAAAAAGGTTGGTTAAAATTACTGGTAGCAATTCAGAAAAAATATCTACAAAATGGTGGCGCTTACGGTTATATTGAAAGTAGATACCAACTTGCTTATTTCACATGGGACATCCTGTATGTTATTCAATTTTTGGGATTTACCATTAATTTTGCAAAAACCCAAAATATTTGTGGGTGTCTAACACCCACTTTTTGAGAAATGGATCGTTGCAGTTTTTCGTATATTGTTACTTTAAGGAATAAGAAACAGAGATAATTATGAAACATTTTTATTACTTCATTTGTATCACACAATTGACTGCACTCTTACAAGCATTTTACTGGCATTACATCAAACTGTTGCATTGCTTTATTCTCGGTAATTGAGGTTTCACATTTTCAACTATTTCAATCATCATATCTTCTAAAACGAAGTACGGTGTAAATTGAAGCTCCCCTGTCTTCCAAATTATGTTACTCTTAAAAGTTAACAAGGTACGCAGGGTCTTGTTCAAACCTTAAGCAGACTAATTTTACTATTTAAAATTTTGAGAAATGAAGGCAGAGTCCTACAAAGTAATTTGCGGCCAAATGGCCACCTAAAATATCTCTGATACAGAGTGATCAAAAAAACAGTGGCCATATTTCTGGAGCAAAAAGTATATCCTATAATAACACACACGCCCGAAGGGTGGGGGGGGGGGTTATCAGGGACCTCTTTGAGAATACAGATGGGCCTCAAAAGGACCAGGCACAAAACATATGATATGGAAAATGGGCCCCAGTCGATTTGTCTTGAAAATTCAGAATGATATATTTTTTGCATTGACGAAGAAAAGTGTCTATGGAACCGAAGCAATCCCATGATTAGTATCTGAGAAATAGGCGGGTAAAGTTTGCCTGATTTGTAAAAATGGCGAAAGTGTAGTTCTGGTATCAAAAACTCGGAGAATCAGTATACAAAAAGAAATATTTCATTAAAATACCTAGGGAGGTGTCATGTTGATCGTGACCGTGATCCTACAAGGTCAGTTTCAAGGCATCTGAATTTCATATTTTTGCGCTGGAATAGATATGGCACGAGTTTCTCGAGATTTCAGAAAACTCAAAAGTACAGGTAACTTTTCAAGGGCACAGGAAAGTCGTGATTGTTTCCTTGTCTTTGTTTATGACCTGTACAAGGTCAAATTAAGGTTGTCTTGTGTTCCGACATATCGAATGGTTTTGGTAAACTTTTTCGAAGGTTAATCAAACTCCAGTATCACGAAGAGCATGTAAAAAACCACATATGTCTAGGGTTTGAACATAAGATTTACATCTACAGTAATGCCCATTATGCATTGCAAGATTATCAGGTAAATGTGTCGATACTTTATTGGGTTTCAAAACCGTGAGTGAACCCGGTTTGCCGATACCGAGTACTTCGTCTAACACTAAACCGGCGGTCGCCTCTTGCACCGTTGCTAACATTTGATGCGCTCCATAATCGGAAGATGGTACCTATCAATAAGACCATGACCTATTTTATAAAGGTTCCTAGATTAGACTAACTCTCGAACTGTCCATCTTGTCTTGGTAACTAAATGAGATTCATTGGCTACTTCCGTAGACAGCTGCCATTGATTTTTCCCAGAGGTAAAGGTATTTTCCAATTTATACCTAACTGATCTAACAGTACAGTGACATCAAGGTATCCTCTATTTAATACAGGTACGTCTTCAACTTGAAAAATTTAGAATTCTTGATTTAAAAAGTCGATTCCATCGGCGAATCTAGACACTTTCTAGAAAAGTTCTGCTAGAAAGGAATTCTAATGGCGTATGAACTATTGCTAAACCGTACAAAATGGATCCTTTATAATCTGTATCTAACATATTTTGCAATGTAAGTAATGTAAATATTTTGTTTAAGGAAAACGTAAGCTTTGCGTTCAATCGATAATCTTTGTAGATTTACAAATGCATTAAATGTGAGACATAAACTGTGCCCTCGAAAAGCTCCCTTCCTTTAAGTTTCCTGAATTCTAGAGCATTTCGTGCCAGATCTTTCCAGCGTAAACATATAAAAATCAACTTGCACCGAAACTGACCTTGTAACGATCATAGTCACCATTAACATGACACTTCCCAACACCTTCCTACGAGGTGTTTTAACGAAATATTTCTTTTAGAATACGAGCTTCTGGTATCAGAACTACATTCGACACTTTCACCATTTTTGCAAATAAGACACTTTGTCCTCGTATTTCTCAGAAACTAATCATAGGATTGCTTTGGTCCCATGGACAGTTTTGTTCGGGAAGGCACGAAATACATCATACTGAGTTTTTAGACAAATCGACTGAGTCCTATTTTCCATATGTTTTGTGCCTGGTCCATTGCATATTTAGCATAGTTTTGTTTTTTATTGCCTCTGTCCCACGAACCGAAAGTTTGCTACCCCCTCTCTTCGAAAACGAGGCCAAACACTTTCACAAAAAGTTAACTCTTGCTGATGATCAGCCCCCTCCCCCACCCCTCTTAGAAAAATCATTGCAGGCGTACATGATAACACACAGAATTCATATAAATCAACGAATTCCAATACATTAGAAACAGCCAAACGTATATGTTTTCATTGCGTTGTTTGTCGCATGGCGTAGTTTTAGAACGTACTTTGACTCCAATATTATTTGGTTGGTTTATGGGTTGTTAGTCCGTCGTAAAATATTTCTACTTGACGTTTCGCCAACACGACGATTATAAATCCAAAATCAATGACCTCTTGGATCCGAGCACCTACAAACAGCTAACCAGAGACCCCACGCAACGCATTGTTAGAACAACGAAATCACTGGTACAAAAGTCGAACCTTGAAGATGAAATTAAGAAAAAGGTGTGCAGAAGTGAAGCACCACTAACTCCTCGAATCTATGGATTACCAAAAATACACAAAGCCAACACTCCGTTGCGTCCCATTGTTAATGCTATAGCCTCACCAACATATTACCTAGCCAAGCACCTCACTACCCTCCATCAACCACAAATTGGGCAATCCAACACGTACATGAAGAACTCTGCCCATTTCATATCAAAAATAAAGGAAATTCATCTAGAAGAAAACGATATACTAATGAGCTTTGACGTATTTATCGCTCTTTACGAAAGTACCAGTTGATGCTGCAATGGAACAGATTAGCCGCATTTTTCCTGAGGACATTGCCAATTTATACGAACTGTGCCTGACGACTACATACTTCACGTGGGACAACACAATATACGAACAAACTGAAGGTGTGGCAATGAGCAGCCCTTTGAGTCCAGTGGTAGAGAATTTCTTCATGCAGGATCTTGAACAACGTGTTCTCAGCAGTGCACCATACAAACCCAAAATATTGTTTCGATATGTCGATGACGCTTTTGTAATATGGAGGCGCGGACTTGAGAAACTTAAAGAATTCCTCACTGATATCAATAACATGCATAACATCAAATTCACCATGATGCTAGAGGACAACAGCAAACTTATACGCTATGTAGAAAACAAACGCACACAGATCGGTATCTGCATAGGAACTCCAATCACCACCCTTGTCAGAAATATGGCATCATAAAAATAGTAACAGAGAGAGCCAGGGGAATCTGGGAACCCCAAGAACTGGATTTAGAACTTAAACATCTAAAGAACAGCTTAATGGCCAATGGATACTCGGAGCTGGAAATTAGAAAATCTATGACATAGAGTAATGACAGAGCCAAAGAAAACAACCAACCAGTGGCCAAAGCATTTTTCCCATATATTCCCAGTCACAGACAGAATTGGACGTCTGATTCTCAAGAAGGACTTCAAAACAATATATGTACAGGCCAACGACAAAAATAAGTGGAAGCCTGAAATTGGCAAAAGATAAGAGAGACCCCCTGTCGTCTTCGAGGGTCTATCGCATACTTTGTACTTGTGGAAGTGTGTACATCGGAACAACAAAACGGTCGGTGAATACCAGAATTAAAGAATACAAAGTGAACTGCCGTCTGGGTCAAAATGAAAAATCTGCTATAGCCGAACACACACTCACCAAAACTGACCACGGTATTTAATTTGAAGAAGCCTAGGTGATTGCTAACAAACCAGCATACCATGCTAGATTATCCAGGGAGGCTCTAGAGATACACAAACACACGGACAACTTTAACAAAACAGAGGAATCACTAAAAGTACTCAAAACCTGGCTACCAGTATTAAAATTAACGAAAATTAAGTTGAGTCACCTAAATAACACAACAACAGCCGAGTTATCCCGAGCGCGACACCAGCCGAGGATTCCCGAAGAGCTATCCCCGCCACCCGAGCCACATATAAATATGAGCTAAGACCGCGCAGATGTCAGTAGCTCGCGGACTCCAACCTGCGAACATCTTCTGAAGATGCCAACCACTCGTGTTGGCGAAACGTCAAGTAAAAATATGTTACTACTGCCTAACTACCCAAAAACCAACCAAATATGATTGGATGATGGCCGCGAAATTCTTTCGCATTTCATACTTTGACTCAGTTTTCTACCAAAGTGACAGCATTTTATGGTGGATATATCTGCCTTGATTAGGCTTGTGCCGCTTTTTGCAAATTATGTAACTGGAAATTGGAGCACATTTTGATAAAGTTTGATATTAAAAATTGCATGTAGGGACACCCCACCACATCGCTATTTTAACAATATTCAGTCTCATGAGTGGCAGTGTCGTAAATTTTATAACGCTCTGTATCTAAGTAATGCGACATTTTGGGGTCTAAGATATGTTTATAGGAGCTTTCAACTCTAGAAATAGGTTTTTTGATTCATCCTGTATTGAGTATTTGTATACTTAGACCATATCACTTAATTTTATGTCTGCAAACACACGTAGCTCTACATTTCCTAAACCTGTCTCTGCCCTGAGGAGTACTGGTGTTGCAGACCCAGTTTGGAAAAGCTCGATGAAGCTGGCCACAATTCACCCAATAATCTGCGTATGGGCATGAGTTCAAACACAAGTTCCTTTTACAATGTTGCTTGCATAGGCTGCACGGCTCGCCTATCTTGTATGGGATACTCAGTCTCCTTGCGTGGTTACCACTAGAAATCAAAAAAATGCTTCAGAGGACAATATTTTGAAGGGTATATGTAAAGGGTGTCTCATAAATATTTTCTTATTTTATGCCGTAAATAAAAATACTTAGAATATTTTTACAAAGATAAATTTATTACCAAACGAAAGCCTAAACATTAATTTTATTTATGGAAAAGAGTATCGGATAAATGAGCACCGTTCATGTTTTCACACTCTCTTAATCTCGAACTAAAGTTTTCGATCACTCTCCGAAGCATTGCTCGAGGAATGGCGTTTATTTCATCTGTTATTTTTTGCTTCAACTCTCTCAAATCTTGTGGCGGTGGGGTGTATACCTTACTCTTCAGGTATCCCCATAAGAAAAAATCTGCTGGTGTCAAATCGGGACTTCTCGGTGGCCAGTTAATGTCTCCTCTGCGACTGATGACCCTCTCTGGGAATAACTGATGAAGAGCATCCAAGCATTCATTCGTGACATGAGAGGTCGCTCCATCTTGCTGGAAAAACGTGTTTCTATTGTAGCCACCATGGTTCTGTATAGCTGGAGTTAAAAAAGTCCTAATCATGTGGCAGTAGCGCTCAGATGTTACAGTTTGAGCTTGGCCACGATTGTCTTCAAAAAAATACGGGCCAATGATTCCTTGCCCTGACATAGCAGCCCAGACGATAACTTTAGGCGAGTGTAATGGCGTCTCATGAAGATTTTGCGGGTTCTGCTCGGCCCAATATCGGCAGTTTTGTTTATTAACATGCCCGTTAATGTGAAAATTCGATTCATCAGAAAACCATATGTTGTTGTAACCGTTAAAATGCTCTCTCATTGTTCTACAGAACTCTAATCGATTAGCGGGATCTTGTGGTTTTAATTGTTGTGTAACAACAATCTTGTATGGGTGAAAATGCAAATCCTTGCGAATAATGCGATGAACAGTTGACTTATGCAAAGTTAGAGACGCTCCACGCAGTCTTAATGATTGCCGGGGATCCTCGTTAACGGACTGGCGCACACGTTCAATATTTTCGTTCGATCTTGCTGACCTTGGCCGTCCAGGCGGTTTACTAATACACGTGTTTCCAGTGCTCTCGAACTTTCTTACCCAATATTTAATTAAATTTGCGCTTGGGACATCTCTCATTCTTGCTATGTTATAATGATTTCTGTACAAACGACGTACAAGCACACAAGAATCCTTGTTTTTATAGAACTCGTGAACACAAAAAGCACGTTGCGGCCCTGTAAAACGCTCCATTGCAACTAAAATTTAACAATGTTGCCAAACGTTTGTCAACTGTGTCGTTTCTCCGGAGCATGCGTATTCCGCCAGAGGACTGATCTAAAAACGAAAATATTTCTGAGAAACCCTTTACAAAATAAGAAAAAAATCGGCATCAAGTGGATTAATTCTGCGCAACGAAACGCTAGCATTAGTTCATAAAGGATTATATTCGGCACAAGTTGGTCCTTCTTAGACAAAAGCTTACTACGAACGTGTATACCATAGGAATTAAATGGATCATTTGACAAGGTTGGGATCACCCATCAAGGTTGCGTGCACATTTCTGATGAGCCAGCCTCACCAACAACCGTGGCTAGCTAGCTATACATTTATTATATCGTCATTGCAACTTCTCACAGTAGCCTTCCACCACTTACGTGTCAGGATGGAACTATATTCAACTCAAAGGCCAAGGCGGAAGTGCTAGCCAAGATCTTTGATGCCAACTCCACCATGGACGTCCCCCCCAACGCCCAAGTGCCGTCAATTCAAAGGGTTCCCTACACTATGCGGGAGGTAACATTCAGGCATAAGGCCGTAAGACGAGTGCTCTTGTCGCTCGACATCAACAAAGCTTCTGGTCCGGACTTGATTCCTGCCATTGTACTGAAGAGGTGTGCACTGGAGTTTGCTCCAGTTCTTTCGCGTCTCTTCCAGATATGAATCTGGCACCTTCCCAGAAAACTGGAAATTTGCTCATGTCCAACCCATCCCAAAAACGGGATCTAAGACCGACCCTTACAACTACAGGCCTATAGCTCTGCTTTCTGTTTTAAGTAAGGTGATGGAGAGGTGCATAAATCGCGAGCTTCTGGACTATCTCGAACGTCACGGCTTAATTAGCGACAGGCAGTATGGTTTCCAGCACCAAAGATCCACAAGGGACCTCCTAGCTTACGTCACTCAATTGTAGAGTAAGCTCATCCAGTCTTATGGTGAGGTTCATGTCGTTGCTCTTGACATCACTAAAGCGTTCGATCAGCTGTGGCACGCTGCCGTCTTAAGCAAACTTCCATCCTATGGCCTCCCAGAAAAGCTTTGCAGATGGGTGGCTGACTTTATCTCTGGCCGCAAGATATCCGTCGTAATTGACGGGTTCTCCTCTTCATCCCACAACGTCAACGTGGGTGTTCCCCAGGGATCGGTCTTGGCTCCGTCACTGTTTCTCTTACATATCAACGACCTCCTTTCCTGCACGATCAACCCAATCCACAGCTTCGCTGATGACAGCACTCTACATGCAGGAATTCAGAGTGACAAGCCGATCTCTGCCGCTGAGTTGGAAAAAAGAAGACTTGCGATGACTTCCTCTCTGACAAGAGACCTGGAGGCTATCACTGCTTGGGGACGCAACAATCTTGTACAGTTCAATGCTTCCAAAACGCAGTACTGTACTTTGACGAACAAAAAGCGTCCGTGCGCTCACCCGGTTTCGATGGATGGTCGAGTTCTGCCAAAGAGCCATTCATTTCGGCTGGTCGGAGTCCAGATCACCGAGGACCTGATCTGGCGCGAACACATCTCGTCAATAGCTGCAGCTGCTGAGAAAAAGCTAGGCTATTTGTTTAGGGCTAAGAAGTACTTTTCTCCGCATGACCTTCTCACTCTATACAAGGCCCAGATAAGGCCTAGCCTCGAGTATTGCTCACACGTTTGGGGTGCTGCCGCCCCGACTACATTATCCATGCTCGATGCTGTCCAGAGGAGGGCGGTCCGACTGATCGATGACTCTTCTCTAACAGACAGTCTCGGGACTCTTTCGCACCGGCGGGCTGTCGGCGACCTGGCTCTTTTCTACCGTTACACCAATGGGCTTTGCTCCTTAGAGCTCTCTTCCATGATGCCGTCGCGCGATGTGCCTGCCAGACAGACCAGCCTGACTTTGGCGTCCCATCCTAACCGTGTCGAACTTCGTACATCCAGAGCCGGCCGATACGACCGCTCCTTTGTCCCGAGGGTGTCGAGATTGTCGAACAGTCTACAAGAGGAAGCTTTTCCCAGTTCTATTAACCTTAGGCAGTTCAAAAATCGTATTAATGAAATTTCTTTGGGATCATCATAGCAGTCGCGGTGTTCCGGCATTTAGGCCTCTGCCTGCGCGGCTGCTTCGATATAAAAAAAAAAAATTGCGCTTCACGCGTGTTGCAAATATTTCGATAAATCTAAGTCTTAAGGGCAGTAGTAGTAGTAGTAGTAGTAGTAGTAGTAGTAGTAGTAGTAGTAGTAGTAGTAGTGGTGGGGAGTCGAAGCCTGGCGACTAGGTCACCTTTAACGCTTTTTGCTGACCCCGTAGTACCAATACCGTACTACTCCACGAGCCATCTACTGATAATTGATAAAAGGGATGCTGGCGACTCACTTTTTTTCGACTGAAAGGGCTTGATGCGAGGGATATTGTAATCAACGTGACGTCATTCTAGGTCCAATATGGCGGCAGCCGCAAAATATCGATTTTTCATTTCCATAGTCTCCCCCATATTACGGATATCAAATGAAAGAAGCACAGTAAGCAAAGTGGCGTCATTCTAATCCAATATGGCGGACGTTTGACAATTGACATTGCAATATTATTATATCATGGAGATGATCTGATTATGAAGCCAGTAAGTGGCCATGGGGAGACATCGAATAGAGCCTCGCTTGTTTTCTAAGTACTCTAGTCTTACCGTCTGATGATTAAGTTAGTCAACTATTGTGTAAAAAGTACTCATCTATAACTATATCAAATTTCAACTTTTTAACATTAGTTCGCTAAAATGTAGGTTCAATCGATTGATCAAGAACACTTAATATTATAAAAGTACATCGCCTGCATTTACAACAATTTTTTATGTTACTTTCATGCATCGTATGCATTTCATCTTAAAGTATGCATACGTGTGAATAATTATTTGTACTTACGTCAATAAAACAGTAATAAAAACCTTATACGATTTACTCTCCTTTTCACACATTCTTATATACAGGGTGGCGCATCGAAAACGAAACAGACGCATTTACTGGCAGCTTTTTTTTTTTTTTTTGAAAAACGCTCAGACCCGTCGATTTTGTTTTCGAGGGGGACACAAGTTTTGCAAAAAATCACGTTCACACGTGCAGCCGTCTGGGCGGGGGTGACACCAACCCTAAAATCTTAAATGGAAAGGGGGGTCGAGTGATACCTTCTTTTAAAGGTCTTTCAATTCCCTTTATAATGATGTAAAATACATGAGCTTCAGTTCAGTAGTTTTGAAGATTTATTGATTGAAAGCTTAAAGTAGACTTTAATAGGTACATCAGATTAGTTTGTACTACTTTCAGAAGAAATTTGACTAAAGGAATTTACTTAATAAGTAAATGCTTTTCTTCACTACGCCCATGATTTGTTTATCATTTTGTTGTTGAAAATAGCTATTGGAGCGTTTTTTTGTTTCAAAAAAGTTATTTCTTAAAGAAAGATAAGGAAATATCTCGTACTTATTTTCAATAGGAATTTAGTACATAGTTTGCTATTGATTTGACCAAACTTTGTTGCTAAAATAACTTGTAACGCTTTATTACATAAATTAACCATTAACAATTAACCACAGCAGAAAGAGTTGAAATTATCGAAATATTTTTCGGAAATAATCAGTGCGCTAATAGAACAGAAATATTTAATGAGCGACATGAGAACAGTAATGTGCATCGGAAATATGTTCTAGAACTTGTAGCTAAATTTCGGGAAACTGGGTCAGTCGCCAATAAAA